CGTCGGCCTCCCGTGCGGACAGTTCCCATGGCCTTCAATCCATCTCGCCCATGTGCCTTACCACGCGCTCCATCTGCCGCCGTGACAGCGCCCGCCCGATCATGATGCTGCTGCGGCAGGCGCGCATGGCAAACATCTTGCGCACCCGGCTCGGCCGCGGCACCGTCGCCGCGCTCGACGTCGGGTTGTCGCCCCAGCAGGAAGATCAGCTCCTCCAGGTCGGCCCAGCGAAAAGGTCGTCTCGCGGCTGAGCGGCAGGCTCAGCAGCTGCACGCGCGATCCCACGGGCCGCGCGCCGGACGTGTCGGCTTGTACGACGAATCCGTTGCGTTCTAACGCTGGTAGGTGCTCGAGGATGATCTCTTCCTCGAGGGCTGTCAAGTCGAGGGTTTTGGGCTGGACGAGGCGCTGCGATTGGACCGTGGTTGTGGCTTGGAGGCGCTCGAAGTTGTATTTTTCGTCCGAGGCGTGTTGGTCGATGATGAAGAGCTCGTCGTCGGCGGCTTCGGGCGTGTTTTCTGGGGAGGCGGCGGCCTCGCGCACGGCGAGCACAAAACCTAGATTGAATTGCCCGACAATGCGCATCTTGGCGAAGTCGGTCTTGGAGATCTTGAGGGACAGCTTCTCCTCGGCGTCGGCTGCTTCGAGACCGTCTGGGCTGGTGTTTGGGGAGACCCCGGGCTGTGGGGGCGGTATGTGGCGTGTGAGGGCTGCGATGCGTTGCTGTATCTCGTCCACGCTGGTCTTGACTTGCTGCTCCAGGTTGAGAGTCATGTCTTTGCGTTTTGACCGCCCCTTAACAAATAACTGAGATCGCTTTTCGCCTCCCTCAGTCGTTTCGGCCGTGGCCTCGGCTGTGTCTATCATTTCCCGGACCTTTTCTTCTTGGGCTTTCTTTTCATCTTCGTCGGCGTAGTCGGCATCGTCTGTGGCATCGTCACCGTGGCAGGAAAGTGTATGCTCAACAGACTCCATAGGCGTGTCGGGGCTGTCCGAGGAAACCGGACTCTCGGTCTCCCCTGAAACTGGGAACCGTTCTCTAACCTTTTCAGTCTCGCCGTCGATTTCGTTCACCGCCCGCCCACTGCCGTCCTCTTGAGACACAAAAAGTGACCCCTCCTCATTTTCATTTTCAACGATATCCTCGCCGGCTTCTTCCATCTGTTTGTCGATATCTTCGTCAGACCCTCCCATCTGCTCGTCGACGTCCTCACCAGACTCTTCCATATCCTCGTCAATATCGTCAGCCAAGATCCCGGTCTTGTCTACTGGCCCTTCATCAGCATGCGCCGAAGCAGAAAATAACTGAGTGAGACGTCCACCAAAAGATGGCAGAGGTGTGTTTCGCTTCCCCCCTTTCACAGGACCCGTCACCCGAGTCGGTTTCGGGTCCTCGTCAACTTTAGGGCGTTTGGAAGAATGCCCGATTAGACTCGTCACGGTGTGGTCACCGATGGTGATGGTTGCCACCTCCTGGGTAGAACGCTTGAGGGACCGCGTCGTTGTCTTCGGGACGACTCGTGATGCTGGTGTTTGGGATGAAGGGGCAATGGCAGGGATTGGCGGTTCGAGTTCAATCCTGGCATCTTGATCATCGTCCTCTGCCGGGATTTCTCTCGGCCTCTCACTGGATCTCGTCGAGCGGGCAATGGATTCCACGATTTCCGGTCCCTCGTTATCCAAATTATCTGCTTCTGCCTCTTCAGACGCCGATTCTTCATCCCCGGGTTTTTTTGCAGTGTCGCCGTCCTTTTCGACTCCCAGATTCCCATCTACGACGCTGCTAGCATGTTGTTGGGCCTCGGGGGTTACCGTAGAATTCCTTTGGTCGTCGGGGCTTTTTGCCAGCCAGCGGGATAACACGCTCGCAGACTGTAACGAGCTCCTCGGCTTAGGAGGCACTTGCTTTTTGACCGGCTGTTCGTTGTCATCTCCCTCCTCGCTCGCTTCCTCGTCATCCTCTTCATCGCCGACATCGTCATCCTCCCCAACCCGCTGCTTCCGAAGGATTGAGGAACTAGACTCCGCCTGTCGCTGCGACTCCACGGTAGCCGCCCTGCTGCTGGTCTGAGCCGAAGTGAGCGTCCACGAACGACCAGCCGCTGTCTTGAAGGGGTTCTGCTTCAACGCCTGCGCCTGGGACACGGGAATGGTGACATCTTGTGTCTCAAAAAGCTCAATTAGCGATTCCCGCAAGTTATCGAGCATTTGCCCTTGGTCGTGTAACAAAATGGTTCGCTTGTCAGGGCTGACGTTGACGTCGTAAAGATGTGTGTCTAACTGAATGTCGGCAAAGATAAACGGCGATTGGGAAGCGTTGTATGAGCGGTAAACTTCATTGAACACCTTGGCGAACTGAGGTAGGCCGCAGGGTCGCCCGTTGACATAGAACATTTGCCTGTCAGGGGTTTGCCGGCCTTCACCGTGGGCAGGTCGAGAAACGTGGCCGAGGACGCGGACTTCAGTGGCGCTTCCGCTTGCTTTCGCTTTTCCCTTGTTGAGGGGTCCAGCAGTGGGTGTTAGTTCCAGTTTGAGGTCCATCAATATCAGGGCATTCATGGTCTTCACGCCAAACACGTTAATGATGTTCTCGCGCGTGGTGGGGTTTCCCTTGGTCGAGAATAAGACCATACGCTTGCCCTTGGTGGGTTGTTGAGAGACGGTGAACTTGACGCCGGTCTGCACACATGCATACTGGTTGAGGAGGTTGATCACCTTGCCCCATTCCCTCTTAATGTTCCGCTCCAGCTCTCGGCGGCGGACAGGTAGGTTGTGGAAGAGGTCTTCGACAATGACGGTGGTGCCCTTCTGGCCCGAGACGACGCTGGTGCTCTTAAGCTTCCCAGAGGTCTCAAACTCGAGCCTGCTCGCACGCGGTACGTCTTGGGCGGTACATGTCACGACTGCAAATCGGGACAGGGCGCATAGCGAAGACAGCGCCTCACCTCTGAAGCCGAATGTCTGCAGCTCCGAGAGGTCATCGTAGCTCGTGAGTTTGGAAGTGTAGTGCTTCAAGGCGATGGACTCGTAGTTGTGGGATGCAATTCCCAAGCCATTGTCCTGGACTTCGATCGAGTCTAGCCCTTGGTTCTTGAAGCGGACATCTGCAAGTGGCGTAGCTTTGTTAACGAGGGCGGCTCGACGTGCGTGCGCTTTCTTGGGAAGACTCAGCCACGTACCGATGGCGGTTGCTCTAGCGTCGAAACTGTTCTCGACCAACTCTTTTGCGACAGAGCAAAGGTCTACAATGACTTGGCCAGACTGGATCTGATGGACCTATTTAATTTGTCAATATCTGCAATTCAATTATTATTTTATTTTGCAACAGTCGGTAAACGCACCGTGCTAGATTCAATGGCCTTGATAGTGGCACTTGATGCCATTCTTCGGGATTCCCCGGCGCTACCGTAATGGCTCAATAACCGCCTTCTATATCGCTAATCTAGAGTTGTCTCGTCGTCCGTTCGGTTGTTGAGGGATGGGTCGGTGAGAGTTGGCGATCCCAATTCGGTTCAGTTACATTGAGACATGGTGTGACTGAGTTGCCAAAGTAATCTGTACACCGTGCCTGCCGTCTTCAGGCATGGACGCGACGTGGAACGCGTCTTTCAGTCTGTGCGCGCTGCTCGTCAATTAAGCACCTAAGTGGGCCACTAAGAACCGCCAGGCAGCTGGGCGGAAACTTTCTGCTGTATGCACCTACCCCGCCATTTTACCTCCTCCGTCCTCATGATGGGACCTCTGTCACTGATAATTCAGGTATGGCTTGACTGCCGTTTTAATGTTTCACTTGCTACAACTGTGTAATATTATTGTTAGTTGGGTTGTGTCTAGGTACCTAGGAGAGAAGGCCATTAATTATCGAGGAAGGAATTCACAAGCGCTTTTCTCCCTTGGAGAATCTTACAGCACCATTTTGCCCTTTAGTAAGTGCTGCATATGGAAGAGGGGGTTTATTGGCTGACCACAGGCTTCTTCGTTTCAAGCAGGGGTTCAGATTGCTGCAAGTCTGCAAGTTCCATCCGGGCCGCAGACACGAAGCACCCAACTTGATTCGTGTGAAGCTGAGCATTTCCTTGAAGCCATCGGCAGTAAATATTCGTATGCCCGACGAGTTAGCGCCTCTGTGGTGGCGACGAGGCATTGCAAGCCCGTCGTATGTGGAGAGGACGCGTGTCAAACGGAGATCCCGGCCGCCGCTCACATCATCGAAACTTCCTTCGTTTGTAGTATAGTTACAGAAGAGAAAATACCGTGGTACGAATACACATTGATAAGGACATCGAAACGCCAACGAGCTGCCAAGATGGCAAGCAACGTGTGGCCCCTGTCATGACGTTATTACTTGGCGAGCTCGACGGGAGGTTGCATTGGAGGAACAAAGCAGCATCGACAACACCAGACTGGGCTCCTGGGTCAAAACCTCTGGTCGTACATACACGGTGCATACATCTATTAGCCCCGCGCAGAATGCAACAGCATTTGCAAAATACGGGATGCCCGGTCGCCGCTGGCCCCCATGATCAATGCCTGACCAGTTGCAATATCTCTGTTGCCGCGGTACGGCTTCCGATCCAGAGCGCACCGGGCGTTATCACCCGAGCTTGACCGGATTCGTCATGTCGCGGGCCATCAGAGAGTATTGTATGGCTTTATTGACTTGAAAACGAGCCTTGATAGGTGGTGGTTGGGGGGGGGGGGGGGAGAATGGCGCCTGACAGCAGCCGTTCTGTGTTGTTGAGCACGCAATTAACTACCCAGCCGCCAAAATATGTCTGCACACTCCAGCCCCAGCAAGGAAATGGTGCTGTTACTGCATGCTGCAGGAGAACTCCATACTGGGTCAGGGTGGGCAAAACAACCAGACAAACTTTGTACAGCGACCCCGACATTATCCTGCATCCCGCGGCACGGCATCGTGCCCGTCTCTCGAATTCCGACCGTTTCCATCCTTTCCGGTTCACTTCAACATCCCCGTTTTCAGCCTGAGCGCTATTAAAGCACGACTTCTCGTTCCCGTGGTATGGATTCTCGAAGACGAGTACAGGCCCCATGCCGCGACTTTTCTTGCGCCGATCCGGAATTATCGGGCATTCCTTCGTTTATCAGCGGTCCAGCGGTTCCCGTTTTTTTGTCGGTTTCAGACGAGGAACTGGGCGTTCGTCAACACCGAATCCGATTTCAGATTACACAGCTGACCCTCGGCCAACGGGCGATCCCTTATCTCAGGGGAAGGTGCGAACCCCAGCACACTGCGACGCAAGGTCCCCACAAGCAAGCCACCCTGCTGCTTGTATCGAATCAAACTGGCCCGCTTCGAGGCAAAGTCTGGACTCTTGCTTCCAAGGCTGGGCCCGGCCAATAGTGGCTACAGCGCCTGCAGCCGCCAACTTTTTGTGGTCGACTTCCGAATCCGCCGCCATAGGTTGCGCACTTATCCTAAGCTCGCTTTTCCCAGACCGTGGTGTTTTTTTTTTATTGTCTTGCGCGCGGGAAAGCTTGAGGAGGAGTGCCAGCCTCGGCTTTTGGTGAACAAACAAAGCTGGGCTCTTGAGCTGCCAACCCACAATTTCAGCAGTAAAGAGGATTCAGCTCGAAACGGCCCATGAGCCCCGTTTCACCGCCGCCTCGCCCACCGTTCCTTCGCTTGGCCTTTGGCTTACCCCAACGCCAACACCACGAGCGCATCGCGCCACCCCCCGGGCAGGAAACTTCCACCACTGCCCTGCTGGGATGAGGAGGCACTCGTCAGGATCGTCAGAAGACGATGATGCTTCTCCTGTTGAGGCCCCTCATGCCAATTCCTCTCGCTTCAGCGCCAAAGACTCAAGGTCCTCGGCGCACCCCACGACCAAGCTCGATCATAATCGCAACGCCGACCGCCCACCTTCGTTTTCGATAAGCCGACGGTCTAGCAGCATCAATTGGCGACTACCGGAGTCGCGCAATGGGAACGGGACAGTAGAGAAACGGCCGTCCCCCGAACGCACATCGCCCTCCTCTCCCCTAGGCCTGATCATGACCGCGAACGGGGAACTGCGGACAAAAGAAGTGGAAAAGACCCCAGAGACCGTCATTCCCGCGCGGCGCCCTCCATGGAGGAGTCCCTGGGCAATCACCTTCTCTGCGCTCGTTGCTGCGATTGTCGGCATCGGGTTTTTGGTCGCCGTGCTCCATTCTTCCGTAACGCGACAGCTTGATCCAAAAGGGTGTCGCATGTCTTACATGCGGCCATCGTACGCCAAGCTCAACGAGTTCGACACTGAGCACACGCGCCTCGCGAGCAAATACTCCCTGTATCTGTACCGCGAGCAAGATATCGATCGCGACACCAAGGTTTGAGGCGCAAAAGAACTGTCAAGGTCGCCGGCGTCAGCTAACCCTTTTTTTTTCAGGTCAGGGGGGTTCCCGTCCTCTTCATCCCCGGCAATGCCGGGAGTTACAAGCAAGTTCGACCCATTGCGGCAGAAGCAGCCAACTATTTCCACAATGTCCTGCAGCACGACGAGTCTGCCATGAATGCTGGCACCCGGAACCTAGACTTCTTCACGGTCGATTTCAACGAGGATATTACCGCTTTCCATGGCCAGACGCTCCTCGACCAAGCCGAATACTTGAACGAAGCGGTTCGATACATCTTATCACTTTACCTCGACCCGCGGGTCGCTGACCGGGACCCCGACTTACCCGATCCGACTTCGGTGATAGTTCTTGGACACTCCATGGGAGGCATCGTTGCGCGCACGATGCTCATCATGCCCAACTTCCAGTCGCACTCAATCAATACCATCATTACCATGTCGGCCCCGCATGCTCGGCCGCCGGTATCCTTCGACAGTCAGAGCGTCCAGACATACAAGGACATCAACGACTACTGGAGGCGTGCCTACTCGCAACAATGGGCCAACGACAACCCCTTGTGGCATGTTACGCTGGTGTCCATCGCGGGCGGTGGATTGGATACTGTTGTTCCCTCGGACTATGCGAGCGTCGAGTCCCTGGTTCCGGACACGCATGGGTTCACCGTCTTCACCTCGACAATTCCCAACGTGTGGACTAGCATGGATCACCAGGCGATCCTCTGGTGCGACCAATTTCGAAAGGTTGTGGCTCAGGCGATTTACGATGTGGTGGATGTTCACCGGGCCACCCAGACAAAGCCTCGAGCTGAACGGATGAGGGTGTTCAAGAAGTGGTTCCTCACCGGCATGGAAACCATTGCAGAGAAGGCAGCACCGCGCTCAGAGCCGACGACCCTGTTGACCGTGGACGATAATTCGGATTCTATTATTGCGGAAGGGGAACGCTTGGTTTTGAGAAACCTAGGCACGGCAGGGACCGTCCGCGCTCATCTCATGCCCATTCCGCCCTCGGGGTCCCCGGGTATGAAGCGCTTCACCTTATTGACGGATACAAAACTCGACAAGCCAGGAGAACACGGGAAGCTCGAGGTCCTCTTCTGTAGCGTTATCCCGTCACAGCCCAGCCAATCTTGGGCGGGTTTCCCAAGCCAGATGGATCTGTCCAAGGGAAGCACCGGGTCCACGCGACTAGCCTGCAGATCTGCTGCGCCCGATGTCGTGTCCCTCCCCGCGTCGACTAGCTCAACGCAGTTCCCCTTCTACCTCAACGGGGAGAAGGAAATTACCCCGTTTTCTTATCTTGAGTACGGGGTGGACGACATTGCCGAGCACCAGTTCGTAGCGGTTGTGGAAAAAACGACTGCTCCGACGCCGGGATTTGTGGTTGCAGAGTTCAGTGATTATACTCAGTCACACCGAACTCGGCACATTAGTCTCCGGAGCCTTCTCACGTTTGGCATGAAGTTTCATCTCCCCGCCGAACGACCGATGGTGTCCGAGGTCAAGGTGCCATCCTTGCAGTCAAGCTTGCTTGCCTACAATCTCCGAATCAGTCACCAAGACTGCAATGGGGACAGCGAGCTGTTTGCTCCCCTTGTTCGGCAGTACCTCGCTGAACCGTACGAGTCGAAATATTTTGTCAATGCGCGCGAAGCGACAGTCAGTCTCCATGGCGTTGCTCCTTACGTCCCTCCGCCTCTCACGGGAAAGTTGGACGAAAACGGACTCAGCTTCCAGTTTTGGACCGACCCGACGTGCAGCTCCAGCATCCATATTGAGTTGACGGCCGATTTCATGGGTAGCCTCGGCAAGCTATATATGCGATATCGCACCGTATTTGCTGCGTTCCCGTTGTTTATCGTGGCCCTCGTCCTTAGGAAACAGTTTCGGGTCTACGACACTACGGGGATGTTCATCCCTTTTTTGGAGGGGCTGGATTTATGCTTGAGGCAATCCATTCCCTTGATGCTGGCTTCACTTACGCTCCTGACACTCTCCACCGGGATCATGGCCCCGGCTAGCAACGCAAGCTTTTGGCACTGGAGGAACGGCACGTCTTCGATTATGGACTTCCAGCACAACGATCTCCTAATCGGGACCGAAGATCCCTTATTCCTCTTTCTGATCCCTCTAATCGCAATTGTTTGCGTCGGTGTGTGCACCGTGTTCAATTACATGGCTCTCACCCTAACGCATTTGCTGGGCGTCCTTGCCAGTCTCGTCACCTTCCATCCCGGATGGATTGGGAACGAGGACAGGAAGAAAACGACGCCCGCCGCTTTCTTCTCTCCGTCGCCCCGGCGGCGCATGATCACGACCGCGGTTCTGCTGCTGCTTGTCACGACGATGGTTCCCTATCAGTTCGCCTACCTGGTAGCTTGCCTGGTACAATTGATGACGACGGTCCGGGCCCAGCGGATCGCCTCGGAGCTGCGATCGACGGCGAACTCGAACTTTTACAACTACACCCACTCGATCTTCATCCTGATGCTTTGGATTCTTCCCATCAACCTCCCGACATTCGTAGTCTGGGTCCACAATCTGGCGGTTCACTGGCTCACTCCCTTCTCGTCGCATCACAACGTCCTCTCCGTCATGCCATTCATCGTTCTCGTCGAGACCCTCACCACAGGAAAAATGATACCGCGCATGGGCAGCCGGCTCAAACATGTCACCAGCCTGTTGCTGTTTGGCATGGCTGTCTATGCGGCAGTGTACGGCGTCACATACGCTTACACGCTTCATTATGTGGCCAATTTCCTCGCCTTCTGGCTGGCAATTGTCCACTCGACATCCGACTCCTGGTCTCTAGCGGGACTCACTCACCTCTACAGCGGGGATGCCGGGATTCGGAAACGAGGAAAGGAGCCGTGACCCTTCCATCGGCGAGCGATACATGCCGTGCCGCGGAGCAGCCGGCGATCGTTATTTCCGTGATCCGCCAACGCGGCAGACGTTTCAATTCCGATACCCCACCCCGCCTCATCCCGGACGACAACCACGCCAGTGTACATCGTTACCTACCAAGCCTGTCTTCTTGGAAAACCCCAATTCTGATTACGGGCCAGCAACTCCTTGCCACCTCCGACTTTGGTTCCATAACCGGATTCGCATTCTCTTCGCACCGGAGCACAGACTCCAACTCATTTATATATTTTTTTCTTGCACAGGCGGCGTCCGGGCAGGTTTCTTCGGTCCTCTTCGGTTTCAGCGATTCCACACATTGCATTTGCATCGGCGAGTCTATCAGCGTGCTTTCTTGCGTATGCATGAAGCAGGCCTTTCTTTTCTCTCCACGTTCGAGCCCTCACTCTTCCGGCATGGTTGGCTAGTTGCTTGTATATCTGGTTGACCCAGCCAGCCACGGCTCTGGAAAGGGATTTTTTTTTTCGGGATTTCTTTTTGTCGGGTTTTCGAAGGGCGGATGGCATGGCAGGGTGGCTCCTGGTTTTTAGTCTTTGGGAACCCACAAACTGGGTGGATGGATGGTGGGTGGGTTGATATGAGCTATGCCTGGCCGCCAATAATGTCTATCTTATTGTTCATGTCACTCGTTTTTGCTCGGGGAGGCTTGGGGGAGGATTTTTTTTTCCAAGTGGCGCACCTGAGTCGGGTTGGGTGGTGGTCTCGCAACAGCCGCGAGTCTGATGCGCAGACAGGATGAAATAGACGATACAGCGCGGCGAGCGGCGACCAGCCGTCGCATGCGCGAGAAGCCGGATGCCTAAGGGAGGGTGGGCTTAATGTTGTGACAGCCAGCGGCGTCCGGGGAGCTTGTACACTGCTTCATAAACTGTAGATAGACGGGGGTGTACTTATGCTGTATGAGACGGAAGCCCTAAAGAAGGGATCAAACAAGCGCATACTGTTCCAGTCTACCATCAACTCTCGGAAAGGTATGTATACCACGAAGTGAATGCTGTCTACCCCTAACTCCAGACGTGAATTAAATGGTGACCCTAGAAATGCCCCAGCACGTTCCATGCAGTGTGACCCCGAACATCCGGATATCCATGCGCAGAATCCAGATACGAATTCCGATGATACAAAACGCTCCAAAGCACCCAAGCAAACTAGCCAGACAAGAAGGCAAGGAAAGGGTATATGTCGCCGCCTCTTGAACCAGTACCAGGAGAGAAACCTCACCACCGCCGCGTTTTTCTACGAGAAGGCGAGAAAACCACTCGCTCTTCGGCGCCCAGTCACTCTTCGGCGCCCAGTCACTCTTCGGCGCCCAGTCACTCTTCGGCGGCCTCATTCAACGCCTTCAGCACCCTCGCGTAGAACTTGCCCGCTTGCGACTGCGGGAACGAGATCTCGTCCACGAGGTACCCCGGAAGCACGGCGATCAGCGCCCTGTCCCGGTTGGGGTCGAGCTGGGGCGTGTAGTGGCAGTGGGCCTCGCCCTCTTCGGGCAGAATCTCGACTGCTAGTTTGAAGTGGAGCGCTAAGGGGGAACGGGTTAGCGGTCGGTTGGTGTTTATGGGGAAAGGGGGGGGGGGCGGGGGGGCGGGAGAAAGATATTGGGGGGTTAACATACTCCCGTTTCGTCCCGTCTGAATGCAATCGAATACATCCTCGCCGCCTTCTCTCTTGACGCTGCGCACGATCAGACCAGTCAAGTCACCGTACAGATTCTCTTTCTTCTGTGCTGCCAGCGTTGCCTCAGACGCGTTGGCTGCCGCGAGGCGGGAGGCGCCTGTTGACCCTTTCATTGCGCTGCCCGGAACCTTGGCGGCGGCGTTCGCGGCTGCTTCGCTGCTTCGGGCGGCGGCTAGTTTGAGGTTGAGGGACCTGATCTCAGACTTGGACTCGGTGAGGGAGGTTGTTAACTCGGTGAACTTGGTTTGCAGGCCGTCGGCTTTGGCTTCGCTTTCCTCAAGCTGCTTTTTGAGTTGTTGAATGGATTTAGCGCTCCCCTTAGTCGCGGAAAGTTCAGCCTTCAGGCTTGCGATGAGTTGATCGGCCGCTGGAAAGGTCAGTGGGAAATACAGAAGAGGCTAGGCACTATCATTACCTTTAGATTTATCATCTGACTGCTTCTTGAGTTTGTCAAAGTTGCGCTCGGCTTCTCGTACGGCAATTTCTTTCAAGTCTCGGTACTTGTGTTCCAAACTCTCGTATTTTTGTGTCAGCTCTCCGAGCCGACGGCGTACGGCGGGATCGCTCTTCTCCGGAGACAGGGGGTGTAAAGGCCGCTTCGAAACGCTGCTTGGGACAGGGGGGCTACCACGTCCGACCTTTGCACGTTCTGGGGTCCGCGAAACGGAGTCGTCATGTTCATCGTCCAGATCACTTTGTGTTGCATCCTGTTGCTGCGTCTCGGGGATTTCGGAGACCTCCCCGGTTGTAGTATCCGGCTCATCGGCCTTCGCGGCCGGTTTCCTCGCTCGCCGCGCAGCAGTAGGTTGTGGTTCGACCTCCACCGCCGCCTTCTTTGGCCGGCCACGAGCACCCTTTTGCTTCGGCGCTGGGGCCTCTGACATAACCGTATCTTCTTCCTCTGCCTCCTCCTCCTCCTCACCAGCAGCCGCGGCACGGTTGCGCCCACGCCCTGACCCCTTCGCCTGGGCCCCCTTTGTATTGCTCGGCTTATGACCCGTGGTAACCTCGTCGACAGCTTCGGCAATTCGGTCGCTGGCTCGGCGCCCTGCGGCTGACGTCTTCGGCGCCGGCTTGGTGACTTTGTTTGCAGCCTTGCGGCCTACCTTTCCTTTTTTCGGAGGCATGGCGCTTTTTGTAGTCGTTGTTTTGGCAGAGCTCCCCCCGATTCCGTCCTCCGAGTCCGAATCCACCAACTGCAACAAGTGAGCCCTGGCTTTGGCCTTGGACATCGACTCGCGACGTGTCCCGGTGCTGTTTGCGAAACGTAATTTGAGGGAGTCGCGATGCGTCCTCTGTGGAGTGACGCGATAGATTGGGAAGAGACGCTCGGCGCGTGATCTGCCGGGCTTGTGGCTGGTGGAACTTGAGGAGGCTTGTTGATGGGACGAGGGTTGGAGGGGCGTCGCGCGGTTGCCCTGGCGCTAAAATGCCTGTGTAAACAAACCCATGTTCAATGTCCAGCGCTTAACCGAAGCGGTGATCGTATTACGGTAATTTACATACATTGAAAGTTACCACCGCGCTAAGAGGGGTTCAACAGTGTACAGATTAAACCCCTGTCATTCTTTCAGCCACCAGTGGCGCTAACACATGGTCGTTTCGGCACAACCGCTGTCCTGTCGCAAGGCCGACTCCATCATCTCGAACATCACCGAGGCTCATTTTCGCAAGTTGGTCTCTTCACCTACAACATCGAAAGTGCCGTCTCCGGTCCGCTTTCTATCTAGGCCCGCGCCAACGGCCGCGCCGCAACGCAAACATGAACGACCAAAAACGAATGAAGGAGCTTGTGTCGGGCATCATGGTCGCTGCCGGAGTATGTCCCAGTTGACTGATTCTTCCATATGCGACGTTGCATACATGCTAACGTGCATGGCCTGCAGACAATATCGGCTTATTTCATAATCAAAGAACTCGTTGGGCCATACTTCTCGAAGCTAGTCGACCCCGACCGAGAGAAGAACGAGTTAGCGAGTCGGAAGGCCCAGGCAAATCTCCAGAGGATACGACGGAAACGGATCGAGGCCGGAGACGAAGGCGAGGAGGGCACCGACGGCTCACGGCATACCAACCGGGTGGAGGACCTGGTTCTCAATGAATACGAGAATCAAGTAGCCCTGGAGGTTGTCGCACCGGAAGACATTCCCGTCGGGTTTGGCGCCGTTGGTGGCCTTGAAGACATCATCGAGGAGCTCAAAGAGTCCATCATATACCCTCTAACGATGCCGCATCTCTATCGTCACGGAGGCGCGCTGCTGGCGGCGCCCTCGGGGGTGCTCCTGTACGGACCGCCGGGCTGCGGCAAAACGATGCTGGCCAAAGCGGTGGCCCGCGAGAGTGGTGCCTCCTTCATCAACCTCCACATCTCGACCCTGACGGAGAAGTGGTACGGCGACTCAAACAAATTAGTTCGCGCGGTGTTCTCACTGGCCAAGAAGCTACAGCCATCAATCATCTTCATCGACGAGATTGATGCTGTCTTGGGGACACGGAGAAGCGGGGAGCACGAGGCCAGCGGTATGGTCAAGGCCGAGTAAGTTAAAACTCGAATTCCACACTAGGACCCGATTTTAACAGCCGTAGGTTCATGACCCTCTGGGATGGCCTCACGTCGACCAACTCGGCCGGCGTTCCCAACCGAATTGTGGTACTTGGGGCGACCAACAGAATCAACGACATTGACGAGGCGATCCTTAGGAGGATGCCCAAGAAATTCCCCGTGCCACTCCCCGGCATGGAACAACGGCAGCGCATCTTGCAACTAGTCCTTGGCGACACCAAGCGCGATCCCGAGAACTTCGATATTGACTACATTGCTAGAATCACCGCCGGCATGTCTGGCAGTGATATCAAGGAAGCATGCAGAGATGCCGCCATGGTCCCCATGAGAGAGTATATCCGCCAGCATCGGGCCTCGGGGGAAGCCATGGCGCGGGTGAACCCCGATGACGTTAGGGGCATTAGGACCCAGGACTTCTTTGGCCGACGTGGCGGTCGAGTCCTTGCCGAAACCCACTCCGAACCAGCAAGTACTGTCAATGCAGCGCAGTCCAAGGCGTCAAGCGATGGGTATGAGGACGTGGAAGAAACCGAAGACGAACAAGTAACAACATCCGCCTAGGTCACCGAACGACGCGAGCGCACCAGCGCCCTACTTCTGCAATTCGGCGGCTACCCAGTTGTAAGAATTCATGTATCATGAGGCGCACGTACCGGTATAGGAGCCGGCTATAGAGTAATACCCAGACAAATGAAACACCGCGTCACTTCCTTGATGTTTAGCGTTTAGCCGACTCGTCCCTGTGGTTCGAATCCCGCTTCCGAAAGAGCACACGACAACACCGGCTCCCGCCACTGGTATCAAACTGACTTGGTTAGTGTAGTACTCAAACAGCAATGTGCCTCAAGCCAATATCCGTCGTAATTCCCGACTTTCTTATTCTACGCTTTCGGCTGTTTGTGTGAGAAACTCAACTTTTCAAACTTCAAGAGGAAGGGCCGAATCTTGTCTTTTACACTCTCGTCCAAATCCCTAGCAAGCACGTCATACACTAACCCCACAGCGGGGCGGCTTCATCGGATATCGGATACCTTGGGCCGCACCGTCCTGCCGCCCACGTCAAAGTACCCCATATCCCGAATCCCTGCCCACCTCTCCGGGGTCGGACGGAAAGGGCGGTCGACACCTGTTTGTCTGCAGGGTCCCTTCCCCAGAAGCACACTCAGCACATCAGTCATAGGTTGTCAAGAATCCATCCCATTGGAAGGTGCAACTTTCCCAATTATACCCAACTCTCCTGGTTTTCTTTCCCCAACGAGGCACCAAGAGACTTGCCAGTTTGCACCTTCTTGGAACCTCAAACCCAATTCCCGTCCACCATTTTGTCCAGTAGCGGTTCCGATTGCCCCTCTCTTTGCGGGCCTCGTCTTCCTCTTTCATCCCTCCTCAGTTGACTCATTGCCATACGACCCAGTCATTACTACAATGGCAACTCCAAACCGAATGAGCCCTGCATCGCAGGCCGCCAACAAGGTCTTCACCAGAGTCGACGTCGACGGTCACGCTCTCCCTCCCTCACCTGCCCCCTCGAGCCCGCTCTCCGGAAGGAAGCGATACGCTCTGGCGACAGAATTGGTCTACACCGAGTCCAAAGACCAGTATGGCTCCTCGAGCATCCCCATCTACCAGTCGGCCACCTTCAAGCAGACCTCGTCCAACGGCGGCAACGAGTATGACTATACCCGCTCCGGCAACCCGACTCGGACGCACCTCGAGCGCCACCTGGCCAAAATCATGAATGCGACCCGCGCTCTGGCTGTCGGGTCCGGCATGGGCGCTTTGGATGTCATTACGCGCCTGCTGAAACCAGGGGACGAAGTCATCACTGGCGACGATCTGTACGGTGGCACAAACCGGCTCCTCACGTACCTCAAGAACAATCAAGGGGTTGTGGTACACCATGTCGACACCACAAACGCCGACAGCGTCACAACTGTGATCTCGGACAAGACGGCCATGGTTTTGCTCGAGACTCCCACAAACCCATTGATCAAAATCGTGGACATCCCGTCGATTGCGAGAGCAACCCACGAGGCCAACAGCAAAGCGCTAGTGGTCGTGGATAACACGATGCTCTCGCCCATGCTTCTAAACCCCCTGGATATTGGCGCAGACATCGTCTATGAGTCGGGCACAAAGTATCTCTCCGGCCACCACGACATCATGGCCGGTGTGATTGCGTGTAACGACCCAGAATTGGGCGACAAAATGTACTTTACCATCAACGCGACGGGTTGCGGGTTGTCACCAAACGATTCGTTCTTGCTGATGAGAGGCATCAAAACATTGGCCATCCGCATGGAAAAGCAGCAGGGGAATGCCCAGCGAATTGCTGAATTCCTCGAATCACATGGCTTCCGCGTCCGGTACCCCGGCTTGAAGTCACATCCGCAGTACGACCTCCATTGGTCAATGGCGCGGGGTGCTGGCGCTGTGCTTTCGTTTGAGACTGGGGACGTCGCGCTCTCTGAGAGGATTGTCGAGGCGGCCAGACTTTGGGGCATCAGTGTCAGTTTCGGTTGCGTCAACAGTCTCATCAGCATGCCCTGCCGTATGAGCCATGCAAGCATCGATGCGAAGACGAGGCAGGAGCGCCAGATGCCTGAGGATATAATCCGGTTGTGCGTCGGCATCGAGGATGCGGACGATTTGATAGACGACTTGTCCCGTGCTGTAAGTTGAAGCAGTCCGTCCCCGTCAAGTTTTATTCCCACAGCTAATACTTGCCTCCTTCTCCAGCTTGTCCAAGCAGGTGCCGTAACTGTGTCACTGGATGGCTTCCACGCAAATGACACCGACGCTGAAGGCGCCACTGTATCGGCTTAGGCCGCGTGTGGATCTTTCTCAAGGCTACACAAACCGGTTGGCTTGTCGGCGCGCAGGCTCCGGCATCATCTCTCAGGCACAAAGGGATAAAGTTTTGCATAAAATCGAAGGCACTGAAATACAACAAAAACAGGTGGCCGGATCATGGAAAAGTCCATATATCCACAAACGAGACCCAGAACCACACTTATTCGCGCCGCTCTTACAACCGCGCGGCGTTGGCATGCTGGCTGGCCCCGGCATCTTGGGTTTCGTTACGGCTACTGCATCGTTAACCCGAGTGCTTCGTCATCAAGCAGTGGTTGACGCTCACCCCGCTAGTCCGCTGATGAAAAGAGCTTCGTTGATGGTAAGATTTTTGGGATCAAGCTCGTCGCTCCACGATCTCAGCATTGGTGACTGCTGCTGCGCTGCATTTTTAGCCAGCGCCGAGGGCGGCGGGCTGAGTTTATCGTCACTATGCATATAAGAAGGCGTCCATGGTCTTGACTCGACAAACGGCAAACATGACTAACCCTCGGTGTGCGTCCTGGGTTTCCGTGTGATCTCTCACGCTGTGGGGCATGGTTGGTCGGGGCGTCGAAGATTCGGGATATCAGGCTCAACAGCGAGGATCTTGGGGGTCACCTCGAAGGAGATTGTCCGTCCGTCCTATGCCAGCGCAAAGGTCAGGTCTATATACACTTTTCGTCCTAAGGCCGGTCAATCCGGGCTGCGAGTCAATCGCCGCCAAGGGAAACCCTGCGGAACAGGGCCTCCTGCTAGAATGAGGAATAAAAAAAAAAAGGCGCGCCCCCTCGCCCTGTCTCCATGCCACTGCACATGTCAACCGTCGATAGCGCCATTCGCGTTCCAAGCCGGGATCAGATATCGAACGGCCACTGCCGACTTCCCCTGCAGGCATCGTGGCACCCAGGGAATTGGTTAGGTGTTGGGCGATCTCGGTTTGAAGGAAGAACCCGGTTGTCTAACTTCGTGTCAACGCTCCTATTGCTTGCTACTGCAGTTTCCTACTGACCCGGAAGTCTGTGCCGGTGGTACATACCTGCTCCTTGGTGATCAGATGTTTCATTTCCCAACGACTTGTTGGTCAACCACCACCCACCACGGCCATGAATCCGTGCGTCGCATGCGGCATAAATCTCATTCGCGTCGCGTTCAGATCCCATTCGCCGGTACCCTAACGGACCGGTATCTCTTTTCATCAACGAAGAGCTTGCGCGCTGTACGACCACACTCCTGCTCTCGGTTCGGCCTTTCAGATAGTTATGCGTGTCGACAGCGCTCCGGCCGAAGCCCCCACGCGTGTGTTTTGCTCCGCCAGAAGCGCCACCAGAGCAGCAGACGGACTACACAATGTGCGTCGTTTACCTGCTGCGTATGGTCCTCGTGCTTGACCGGTCGCAATGACCACAATATGCGGCAGCGGCCCAGAGCAATATATCTGTTTGCTCTTGCAGCATGTGGCAGGGGACGCCCTCTCAGACCACGGCACCCCTGTGGCCAGCCATACGGGTTGTCTCGTTTCCCCGACCAGCACAACGCCAGCACCCGATTTCCCCAGGTTATCGCCTGCAAGATGTCGATAGAGATGAGAAGTGATGGCACGTAACCGTATGCCCAAGACCCCTTGCTCGCCGCCCCATTCGATTACCACCACTTTGGACAGCCGGTTGGACTTGCCCGGTTTTACCGTCCGCTTTTGTGTGGCGTCGAGGCATATCGAGATGTGTATCCGGTACTCGGCCGCGAGAGCGAGAAAGCTATCGCGAAGGGGGTGGTGTGCTGGGCCGGATCAGAGAATGAGAGGGTGTTGGATGCGCTGGCTGTTCCGATCCTGTCCTGCATGCACCTTCCCGAAGGCGCGTCTAATATTCAGCTCTCCAAGCGTCATTGCCAAGGGCATCTCGTCACAGGACGGCCGTTTGGCGAGGGCGCCATTGCCGTGGCAGATACCCAATTTCCTCGGAAGTAGCGGGTTCTGGTGTTCTAACCAGACACCATCCCAACCATAATATCGCAAGGGGTTACTCCTCTGCGTCACCCAAAGTGTCGTACAGATAGGGCGCCTTTTGGCTCGGACATCGTCAAGTATCTGTGCACCGCGGCTATTGCAGCCCTGACAGGAGCGAAAATCCCCCGCGTTGGTAACACCAGCTTATCACCGCTCCTCTCGGGTGGGGGGTTGTCGACGTCGGGTTTTGACTCGGACGTCGGCCATCAAACGGCCTGCCACAACACGTGCATGCATCGTTTTGGCCCTGGATCGAGGGTATCCTAGTCTGTCGACCCTTGCTTGTGCACGGCTTTGGCCAGAGTGAGAAAGCCATAGTCTCCGGGGCAGAGTCAGCAGAGGAAATAACTCGGCCCGCTAATACACTTCATCGGTGTCGGCGTCGCCGCAATATCATCACACTCGGCCTTCACGTTGTTTACTCACCACTCCCTGACCGCTACTCCGACAATCCTAAATTTCTAGGGCCTTTTGTCAAGTCGCACAGCGGCTGCAAGGGTGATGTAACGTATAATGCCGACAGCTGGTCACGCGAGATTACCGAGGACTGAGGAGCGAGCAAGAGTCGGGAGGGGGGAGGAGGGGAGTCGAGGACCGGGAGAAGAAAGACAAACAACGCGCTCATGCGGCTACTGCAGCCCGCGGCTTCGGGTCGCCCTCCCTGCACCCTTATACCCATCTCCCACTGCGCAGGGCGCGGTACCCATCAGAGAGACGCCACGGCATCAGTAAAGGCCGGCCTGTCTACGAAAGGCTCGTTGGTCCTCCCTAGAGCTAGTGTGCGTTCATAACGTCGCCTGGGCATTTAAGAAGATATAAACGCCCCAGATCCATTGTGCACCCGGCGCACGACCCCTCAGAAGCTCGGCAGGCCGCAGACCCTCATGGTCCCGGCGTGCCGTCTCCGGAGCGTCCCGCGATCGGGGGCCACATGGTTTCACCCGACGTCTAGAGACGCGACGGAGTCTGGCACGGGAAACCCCAAGGCCTATCAATACCTGCCACCCCTCTAAAACACTCGGTAGCCCGCGGCCGCCGTATCCGAGAATTCGGGAAGGTCCCGACGGCGTTGCGTTACGGTGTTGTTGTATATGTACATACAAACGAGCTTGATAAAATAGATGGCGTTATATGAACTATAGATGAGTGACTTGTTAGCAGGTCGACAGTCAACTCTCCTTACGGCCGCGCACATAAAAAGCAATAATGGTGGCATGCTGTGCTGTGCTCTCAACGTGGCTGATTGTTTGACAGCTACATTGACTTGATCTATAGAGTTTTGCCGTCCGATAGCAGATCAGGAGGACAGCAAAAAGCGCCCCGCATGCCATAGATGCATCGCAATGTGTGACACGAACGCAGGAAACGGATATAGTCAGGCCGAGACATTGAGCAAACATGTGACAGACACAGAGCGAGAGCGAGGGCAAAAGACAAAGACATGGAGAGCGAAACCGAGTGACATGAGGGAGTTAGAAAAGGGAAAAGAAAATGCATATGTCAGCAACCAACCCAGCCCAGCCAGCCAGCCACAACCAAACCGCGAATCCCCCCATCCCAATCATCAAAACCAACCAAGGAACAGACCCCAACAAGCCTACAGCACACCGTGGTATCTAACAATCTACTCAAATTCAAACCTCTCCGGCAGCACCACCGGCGCAATCAACGTCCACACATACATGCCGTAGCATACCCACGAGCTGGCAATCTTCACCCAGCTCGCCCACAGGGTGCGGCCGACGGTGGCGAAATCGTCGTCCCGTCGGGAGTCGTCCCAGTCCATGGTCAAGAGCGTGGCCACCCAGGCGGTGGCCAAGAAGAAGATGACGTGGAACATGGCGTAGCTATACTGGGTGCTGGCGCGCTCGTCATCGTTGCGCGCCGTGCTGCCGTTGCCGTTGTCGCTGGCGCTGTCGTCGTCATCGGTGAGCAGGGCGTCGGCGGGCAGGCTGCCCTCTTCGACGGCGCGGCGAAGGGCCTCGGCGCGCATCTGCTTGCGGGCGGTGGGCTGCTGGGTGACCAGGTCGTGCTCGTAGTCGGCTTCGCTGTCGGGGAGGCGGATTTGCCCGGTGGAGCCGGAGCGGTTGGCGCCGAGGCCGAGGCTCTGGGTGGCGGCGCGGGTGGTGGTGTAGGCAACCGTGAGCATGGTCACGATGGCGCCGACGACGATGGTGGTGGTGCGGGTGCCCTGACCATGCACGAGGGGGTTGCACCGGTGGTCCTCGGTCTCGTCGGGCTCCATGGACACGGCAGACATGGTGAGGTAGGTGCAGTAAACTGCGACCATGGCGGCCTGAGCGAGGCCGGCCTTGGGGTTGCGTTCTTGAACGGCGGGGTGGACCGAAATGGCCGAGACGGCGATCCACAGGAGGAGGTTGATGGTGATGACGGCTTGGTTCATGGAGCAGCCGCTCGACGCAAAAAAGATGTACTGCACAATGGTCATGGCGATAGAGCCGAGGAACATGCCGAGGGTCGAACCGATCAGGATCACGCGCCACGTCCTGGACTCGGTATCCTCGATTTGCGCGAGGCAGTACTCGGCCCAGTTGTGCGCCAGGTCGACCAGCAAAACGAGTCCGAGAATGAGGAAGAGCATGGCAGCCACGATGGCCACGTAGTTGCCCCAGAACTGGAAGAAGGTGTCCGGGATGAAGAATGTGAGCACAATCAGTGCTAGCCAAGTGATGATCTTGGGTCCCCAATAACCGTTTTGGATGGCGGCGCGCGGGTTCTTGGACGAGTGCACGCCCAGCATGAGGCCGGCGAGTACTAGGTGAAACACACCGAGGGCAAAGTTGATGCGGTGGACGGCCAGCCAGCCATAACAGTCGCCGTCGCCACACTTAATCTTGACGTAGTCCAGCATCAGATGTTGCAGCTTTTCGATGGCCCATTTCGTGAGCATAATCCACGATAGTATGGAGTTGATGAGGAGGATGAGGGCGTAGCCAATACGGGTAGCGACACTGGGGGAGAGGAGACATGTCAGCGCGACGGCCCGGGTGGATGAGGTTGGTGATGAGGAATCCCTACCTGTTCCCGCATTTCCCGCATGCGCTACACACCATAGAGCATGTTGCCGCGCCGCAGCAGGTGGCTCCAAATGAGAGGAGCTACGCGAGTGTCAGTTATGAATTGCGCCATGGGAGCCAGCGGTACGACATACGGTGCCCATACTCGGAACCGCCATCAGCGGAATCGAGAGGAGAGCGCCCATGGCGATGGTCGTGGAAGGCTCCGGGCCTTCTCCGAATGGAAAGTGGAGGGGTGTTGTTGTTCAATGGCGGGTGACGAGAGTTGCCACCGTGTTTCATCGGCAAGCAGCGCGGTTGTGTCGAGTATTGGAGCGACACTGGTGTAGCTAGGCGATATGGTCGTCGAGATAGTGGTTGACTGGAGGTCGAAGTGTTGAACCAAGCAAGGCCCGGGTGGCCAACGGATTGGATGACGACTGCGGCAGCAGCTGCAGCGGCGGTTGCGCCAAGTGCCAAGGCACCCAGTCTTGTCATGTCTCGCCAGTGGACCCGTCGCAGACTGCCTGCCCTGCTGCGCCACAAGCACGGGGGCCGCCGGCCTTTCTCTTGAGCCTACGCCACGTGACTTGGTCCAGACCGGACAGGCTCGAGGCAGGTTAGGTAATGGGAGTGTTTCTCGGGGCTTGGCTTGACCGACAGAAACTGAGTTTTCTTTTGGTTTGCATCCGGCGTGTCATGCGTCCCACTCGCTTGGAGATTTCCCGTCCACAAGACCCCAAGATCCAGGAACTCGGGCGGTGTGACTTGCTATCAGGCGGCCTTTGGCAAGGAACCCTCCCTCTCGTAACTCTCGTCCCATCCATATCGGGCCTGTGGCTTGACCCTGGCTTACCAAGCTTGCCTGGGGAGTCTTCGGGCTGCATTCCCGCGATCCCATGTCGGCTCTCAATTTCCGATCGGCGAATCAGTGGTCCGGACCAGCGAAAGCGGCGGCAAGAACCGAGACCCGCTTCTGATAGCAGGCAGCTGAACGAGCATGTCAATTGTCACCAGGGTCCAAGCCGACCCCGGATATGCCAAGGCTTCTGAAACCCACGGGCCAGAGGCGTCAAATGCCCTTCCTTCTCTCTGCCATCTGCTATAAGCTGTGTTCCTTCATCCCTCTTGCCACCTTCACCCACGATGAGGTCGCCATCACACAACTGCAAATAACATACTCTTCATCTGCGTGCCGCGCCAACACACGGTACCGCGACTTCTGGTCGCACAAAGCTCAATCCCCCGCCGGGATGCCTCAATACGGTTGAAGCTGCACCTTGATAACTTTATCGTGATACTTCATTGTGATACATACTTGAACGTGATAGTCTATCGCGATAACTTAACCCGTGATATCGATCGACAACAACATTCGCAATCCACAGCATTCCCCGTTAACTCTCCCCAAATCCAACCATAATGAGGGACGCAAACCTACACCGCGCCCGGCTGGTGTCCAGCGTGTCCGCTGTCATGATCTCGCTGGCATGCGGCACCAACTACGGCTACTCGGCCTGGGCGCCGCAATTCGCTGACAAACTGCACCTTACCACCACCCAGATCAACCTCATCGGTTTGGCTGGCAACATGGGCATGTACGCCCTGGGTGTCCCCGTCGGTCTGTTCGTCGACCACCGCGGTCCGCGCCCTGCCGTTCTCGCCGGTGCCTTGTGCCTCGGCGTTGGCTACGTCCCCTTCCGCGCCGCCTGGGAGACGGCATCAGGCTCCGTGCCGGCTCTGTGCTTCTTCGCCTTCCTGACCGGCTTGGGTGGCTGCATGGCCTTCGCTGCCGCTGTCAAGACGTCCGCCCTGAACTGGCCGCACCACCGGGGCACCGCGACCGCTTTCCCCTTGGCCGCCTTCGGCCTCAGTGCCTTCTTCTTCTCCCTCTGCGGTGGCATATTCTTCCCTGGCGATACGAGCGCGTTCCTCACACTTCTGGCTGCGGGCACCTTCGCTCTTATTTTCACTGGTTTCTTCTTCCTCAAGGTTTACCCGCACACCTCTTACCAGAGCCTCCCGAGCACATCCGGGTTGTCCGACTCGCAGCAGCTGCACCGCACAGTCTCCGAAGAGGCCAAAGCCGCACGTCGTCAACATGGCAGACGACGCTCTATCGACGCAGACCCTGGTATGTCGCCCACCACCTACACGACTCCCGTCGCTACGGCCGGACCCTCCTCCGAATCCCCCGCCGCCGCGGGCGGCCCAGTTGATGTCGAGGCGGCCTTGCCGCAACCCCCGGACGGCCGGTCTCACGAGGCTGATGCGGATGAGACGTCCTCCCTCATGTCCAAATCGTCGGTGTCGTCGGTGGCCGGCGAGGTCCTTGTCCAGAACAGTGTTGATTTAGATCGCTCCCGTCGTGTAGATATCCGTGGCTGGCGCCTTATGCGCAGCGTCGACTTCTGGCAGCTGTTTACCATCATGGGCATTTTGGCGGGCATTGGTTTGATGACCATCAAGTGAGTTGGCCATACAGGGCAAACATTTTCCACTGTTCCAGTGTACAGCTAGCTAACCTCTGGCACAGCAACATTGGCCAAGACGTCAAGGCGCTCTGGAAGCTCTACGACGACTCGGTCGACGAGGCATTCCTTGTCCATCGGCAGCAGATGCACGTCTCCATACTGTCGGTCGGCAGCTTCTGTGGTAGACTGCTGAGCGGTAAGCTTTTCCTTCCGTTGCCCCCCTCCGCCGCGGCACTGACAGTATCCCAGGTGTTGGCTCCGATTTTCTCGTCAAGTCTATGCACGCCAACCGCGCATGGTGTCTCGTCGTTGCCTGCTTCGTCTTTTGCATCGCCCAGGTCTGCGCCATCAACATCTCGAACCCGAACTTCCTCGCCTTCGTCTCAGGCCTCTCGGGTTTAGGCTACGGTTTCCTATTTGGCGTTTTCCCCTCTATCGTCGCCGAGTCATTCGGCATTCACGGCTTGAGCCAGAACTGGGGTTTTATGACGCTGGCTCCCGCCATCTCCGGTAATATCTTCAACCTGTTCTACGGCGTGGTCTTCGACAGTCACACCGTGATCGGACCCGACGGCGAGCGATATTGTCCCATCGGAGTGGACTGCTACAAGAATGCGTACTTTGTCACCCTAATCGCCTGCGGGTTTGGCATTGTTGTGACGCTTATGACCATTCGGCGCCAGTATGAAGAGCGGATGAAGGAGGAAGGCAAGGGGGCTGCTGAGGATTAGATTCCTCGCCGGCGAGATAGGATCCTCAGGTGGGATTTCAAACTGTGTCATGGATCTTCCAATGAAACTAGAATATGTTTTGTTGGGTCTGAAGGGGGGGGCTATGTAGAACTGGCAGGGGATGGCAGCAGCATTGGCGTTTGGAGCATTTAGACGACCTGGGCAACAAGAACCACTAGAGGTTGGAATTTGGCGGTGGTGATACATGGAAGATGGGACAAGGTTATCAGATATTTGAGCTACCTAATTATTTGATCTAGACGCTTCCAATTTATTGTGTAACTGGCGATAGTCTCATGTTTGAGTGGGAGGGAGCGTGTCAGTCAGTACCTATGCACCTTGAAGGCCGGTTGTAATCAGATACCAACCCTAACCCTTCTCATATCGAATCCCCGATCCCCAATCCCACTCCCATCCCCTGGAACCGACAACCGCGACTTCAACATCCCAGCGCAGCGCGGCAGCAAGACAACACGCGGGCACTCCGCGCCGCAGCAATGTTGTCTTTTATTCTCATCCAGAACCGACAGTGCGTCTCTCAGCCCGAGCCCTGAAACCAATAAATCCACCCGACCGCTAACATCGACCAGGGGCAAAACCCGCCTTGCCAAGTGGTACGTCCCTTATAGCGACGAGGAAAAGATCAAGCTCAAAGGAGAGGTAAGTACCTAAATACCATTCAACTCACCCCCCATCTTAACTAACCCATCTCCTCCCTCCCCCTCCCCCCGAACAGGTCCACCGCCTCGTCGCGCCGCGCGACCAAAAGTACCAGTCCAACTTCGTCGAGTTCCGCAACCACAAGGTGGTGTACCGGCGGTACGCGGGGCTCTTCTTTTGCGCGTGTGTCGACACCAACGACAACGAGCTCGCCTTCCTCGAGGCCATCCACTTCTTCGTCGAGGTGCTCGACGCCTTCTTCGGCAACGTGTGCGAGCTCGACCTCGTCTTCAACTTCTACAAGGTCTATGCGATTCTCGATGAGGTGTTCCTGGCCGGGGAGATTGAGGAGACGAGCAAGCAGGTCGTGTTGACGAGGTTGGAGCATTTGGATAAGTTGGAGTGATTGCTACGGGGGGTTGAGGGTGGGAATGGGTGGATGCTGTATGTCCTGCTACAGGGTGTCGGGTGGAGGTTGTTCGCCCTGGCATGCGTACGGACTATGTTGAGGAGCTGAGTTGGGGAGCGACCTAGGGGGTTGGGTTTGGCGCAAGAAGGCGGCGGCGGTCTCGCCGGACCGCTTATGAATCAGCCGAGGTGGGCCGGCAGATGTGCTGCGCCGAGCAGCCATTGCCCATATTGTGACAGCACACGGCTGCGGTAACGCCACTTGAAAAGGCTGCAGAGGTGGACGGATGAGGTGTGGCACTGGATGACGAGACATCAAGCCATGTCCAAGGACGGTATTGAGGGGACAGAAGCACATACAGAATACGAGGGACCTGGTACGACCATATTCAACGTACAATCGCCGAGAATACGGGGAATCGCCGAAAGGACCAACGGGGCTAGGAGTAAGTGTATTGTATCAATAATTAGGAAACGGCGAAGAAGGCGGCGCCTCAGACTATCTAAATTCTATATCCCACAATCTATCACACAACAATAGCCAGTGTTCTCTCACGCCCGCCGAATCTTCGCTGGGGAGCCACCCCGATGCCACCCCCGACCGCACCTCGAAAGCAAGCAGAAACAATAACAAGGCAAGGCCTAAACTACATCGGCTTTAGAAAAATGCAGGCCGCTGACTGCGCTCGTCGAAGGCAGAGAAGCGGAAAAAGAAAAGAAAAGAAGAAAAAGGAGCGACAGGGTTTTGAGAGTAGCATTGGCCGGTCTTCGCTACCAATGTCGCCCAGCTCGTCTTCTGATGAAGCGCAGCTTGCTCATCAAGAACTGGAAAACCCCCAGCCGCGGCGATATTATGTCCAAGCTCAAGAGGTCGTGACCAGCGAGAAACTGAGGACAAATGCCGTTCATATATCACAATCACGAGCGGCAACCGGGTCCTCGGTAACAAAAGAACCTTGACCTTCGGCCATCTCTATGTCGGCTCCGGGCCCGGCGACCAGTTCCACAGGCTCGCCCAATGTGGTTGATAGCTTGTTGGCCGCTGTAGCCGTCACCTCAGCCTCCATGAGTGATTCATCGAAAGGGCGAGGAGAAAGAGACTCAGCTTCTCTAGCATCAATAGCCTCAGGTGCGACAAACTGGTCCGGGAAGGCACCGGTTGGAACAGCTTGGTTGGACTCCTCGGTCATCGTGTTTGATACCGCCGCTTTTGCGACGTTCTCGGCTGAGAGCACCCCATTGTTGGTAGGCTCGACAATGGTACCGGGTTCACAGTCCTCTAATATTGCCTCAACAGTGGGAGATATCTCGGACCGGAAACTTCCTTCGGCGAGCATCTCCAGGCGTGCGGCATCAGGAGAAATAACAAAGGTCATCTCGGGTTCATGCTCGGCCACCATCGCATCTTCTCCTTCCATAACGTTCGGATTGGCCAGCTCAGCAAGCGCCATAGTCAACTCAACCATGTCCTGGGCCAATACTAGAGCCTGTTCAGGCTCCCTCGCGACATCTGTGTCGGCCGCCGTCTCAGCGTCGATGGACTCCGGCGGCCGCTCTTCGCCATCCCACATATCGTAAAAATCAGCCGCACGGAGTCGAGGCTCGTTAGAAGTCTTATTGGCCCGCAAAAGACTCTCCTGGCCCTCTAAGGAGAAGGCCGAGAAGGGGTTAGAGGGGGGATCAAGTGGAAGAAGATCCGTCTTGAGGCTCTCAACCCTGATCAGTTCGAGAACGGCAAGCTCAAACGTCTCATCGATCTCGCCGTCAGATAACGCCCGCGGTCTCCTGAGAAGCTCCTTCACTTTCAAGTTGGGCGAGACCACCCGACTGCCCCTGACCTCCCTAACCGGGGTAGCCTTCTTCGGCGAGGTAAGCCCGGGCAGCTGATGATCATTGGCGCAAGAATTGTTCTCACGTCTCTCATCAGCTTCGTCGCCATACGATAGCCGCACTTCCTCAGAAGGCTGCTTCACTTTCGAAGGTGGCAAGGTCATCTGGCTATCCCTGATCTTCTTGGCCCGGGTGCGCCTGTTTCGCGAGATAAGCTCGGAGAGCTTGTGATTATTGGCGCGAGAATTACTCTCATGCCTCTCGTTGACTTCGTCATCATACGACAGCCGCACCTCCTCGGAAGGCTGCTTCACTTTCGAAGATGGCAAAACTTTCAGACTACTCTTGGTCTTCTTCTTCTTCCGGTTGCGCTTCGTCTGCTGGATGGGCCCAGCCGGTTGATGATCATTGGCGCGAGAATCGTGTCTCTCATTGGCTTCGTCGTCGCGCGGCTGTCGCATTTCTTCAAGAGGCTCCTTCACTTTTGAAGAGGCCAAATTCGACAGACTACTACTGATCTCTATGGCCCGTTTGCTCCTCTTCCGCGAGGCGAGAGGCGAGGACGGGGGCGAGGCTTTACGTTTGTTTCGAGCGAGGGTCTGACTCCCTGAAAGGTTTTTCTTCGGGGGGTCTTGTGCGTCTTTGCCAATGTGCTTGTCGAGTTTGCGCAGCGGCGACCGGGAGCGATCCCGAGCCTCAACAGGTCGGTACTCGCGGGGGCCGCCTCGGCGCCCATCACTGGGGTAGCCGTTGTGCTTTACGGATGCCAACCTTTGCTGTGTCATAGATCCTAGATTCACGTTGGAGGGGCCGCGGGCTGCCTTGCCTTCTGGTGGAGTGGCGGACGTGGCTGACTTTGACCCCGACTTGGATTTGGGCTTCGATACTGGCTTTCCTTGAGACTTCAAAGCCGCCTTCGAGGCCGACTTCGAGACCGACTTCTTCGAGACCGACTTTGGGGCAAACTTCGAGGCCCCAGAGCCTTCTGAGTTTTCTTTGTGATTGATCTCGGCTTTGCCATTCATGGGCAGCTTGTTAGATCCTGTCAAAAAGGATAGTTCAGGTTGCCCACCACCGCCTTTACCCCTGACTGAGTCATGGCCGCTCCGCTTGGACTTAGAGGAGATGAGAACAGCATCGCCGTCATCGTCATCATCATCAAGTTCGATGAACATGCAGGTGTCTTGAGATCGCCTGGCCCTGTCAAGGTGCATGTTGCCGAAGCGGTCCTCTGCTATTGAGGAGTATGTGTCTTGAGATAGCCTGGCCCTGTCAGGGTGCATGTTGCCGAAGCGGTCCTCTGATATTGAGGAATCTGTGTTTTGAGAGAGCCTAGCCCTGTCAGGGTGCATGTTGCCGAAGCGGTTCTCTGACACTGAGGAATCTGTGTTACTTTCTGAAAGCTTATTCTGCGAGGCGGGCATCAGTCTGCGGAACTCGGCCTCGGCAATCCTAACCCTCGTCGAAATATCGGAGGTTCCGACAGCCTGGCTGCGCTGCCAGTCATGAAAGGCGTCGGCAAGGCGAGAATGGTCGCCGGGCAAAGTCTGCAAAAAATGGTACAGGTAAAAAACCTCAAGGCCGAGATGCCCTTTGGCTGATACATCAATATCTGCGAGACGAGGATGGAGCCACATTATATAAATGTCCAGGATTTGTCCTTTGTCCACATCGTCCGGTAGGTTCCTCTTTATCGCCTCGGAAAGTTGAGTGAGAGGAATATCCTTGAGAGTTTCAAGCCTCAAAGTTTCAAGGATCTGCTCCATGTCGTCGGGTTTGCCCATTCCAACAAACTTAGGAAGACACGAGCTTCCTCGCTGTAAAAAGGGGGAACAGAATATATGGAGGTTGCAAGGTCGGGGTGGTTGTTTGTAAGTCGGTCCTGCTTGGGTTGCTTGGGTTGACTGACAGCCTGGCGATCACACAAGATCGACCAAACAACTCGGGGGGGAACTGCGCAAAATAAGATGTGTAAACTGGCTCTTTTTCCTTCAAATAAAATAATCTCGGTGTCTTCGCTGGGACGAACGAACGAGGGAGAGAAAAGTCGGATGGTGGAGGAGACGTCGATGAAGACAAGAGAGGACAGGGCCACTCGCAACCCGAGGAAAAAGTCAGAAGAATCTTTAGTCGGGTGACCAATTGCCTCAATGAGAAGAGAAAAGGTTAGGGCAAGTAAGGTATGAAATTAGTTGCCGAAGAAAAAAGGATGGCCACTGGGTTGAGGGGGTTGTTGAGGAAGGCACGGTCGACTGGAGGGGCAGGATCAATTCGCAAATAAAGTGTGGGAATGCGAAATGCAATAGAGCACAGTTTTATATCACTGAATGTCTTGGTTAATGGCACTGTTAGTCTCCTCGGCGATGGTGTCGATGTGATTGTCGTGCACGAGTGGTGTCGAAGTGTTTATGCTGCTGTAACAAACAACATGTTGGGATGAAAGAGTGATTCTCTTCCCCTAAGCCTTCTTTGGCATGGGCTGCATGCAATCAGCTGTTGCTTCGTCACTGTGTTTGGGAGAGAACAGGAGCTTCAAAGCAAACTGGGTTCCAAATTCAGGTATGCACCTTGATAGTGCCAACGGGATCTGGGAAACGAAGACACCAAACTCCATCGAACCACCCTACCCAATGCCAGACCGAGAACAATAAAACAACCACGCCATACCCAAGGCGTAACGACACACCCCGAGCAAACACTCTACCTCTTCAGAGCAGCAAACCTCTTCGCCAGCTTGTCCACATTCGGTACCCCATTCGCAATACTTGGCTTTTTTGCCACGGGCTTTCTGCTAGCAGCAGCCGGCTTTTTTGTTGGTGTTAACTTCACCTTGTTTAGCGTTACCTTCGGGTGGATATTATCCGGTCGACGCGCTTGGCGGAGTTGACATGTAGCGGGCTCGAAGGGCTAAAACTCCTCGGCGGCGTCGCCCATATTTAGCTCCTCCCTCGCGCCAGCCTCCCCATCCTCCCCAGGCAACGGCTTCTCCGGCCTGCCCCGCCCGCTGCCCACCCCCCCTCACCCACCATCATCCTCACCATCCTCCCCGTCCACAAACCCCGGCGGCTCCCCCAACGCCTCCTCCGCCCTCCTCCCAGGCGGCCAATCCACCCCATACGCCTTGGCAATCTCCTCCAAATACCCCTGCACCAGCTCCTCCCTCGGCGGCGCCACGCTCAGTTTCCGCACAACCCGCTCACTCACCCGCCCATCCTCATTCTCCATGGCCTGCAACACAAACTCCTTCCCAAACTTCTCCGCCAGCAGCGCCCTCACCGCGCCCAACTCCTTGATCTCCGTCTTGGGCGCCGCGTAAATCACGCTCTTGATCGCCTCCTCCAGGCCCGGGTCGCACGGGGGCGGAGCGTCCAGCAGGCCCGCGCGCGCGAGCAGCAGCTCGCAGTACAGCTCCAGCACCTCGTGCAGCTCGGTGATGATGTCGGACCGGATGATGTTCTCGACGCGGATGCGCGCCGAATCCGTCTTGCCCTGCTCTAGGAGTGTGGCCATGGCGCGCCGCTGGGTTTTGGCCAGGGCTTCGTCGCGCTTCTGCACCATGCGCAGGCGTGCGATGGAGAGCTTGAGCTGGACTTTGATTTTGGGCTGGGGGGAAGGGGTTAGTGAGTTGGGGAGAGAGCGTGGAATGTTAGTTGGGATGGGTGGTGGGTGGGATTGAGGAGGGAATGTGTCTTAAGCGAGTGAGTGGATGGGGGGTGACGTACCACGAGTGTGGGGGAGGAGGGGGGCATCTTGACAGTTAGGAGAGGTGGTTCGTAGGTATGTATGTACGCAGTCGGTTGAGAGATGCAACGGAATGTGGACAGCCTCTGGGGCTTAAATCTATGAGATTAGCTAGGCTCCTATATTCGGAAGTGATGGAGTTGCGTATGCACGGCAGGCAGTCGCGAAGTTGCGGCTGGCAGTTCTGGTGTGGGGTGTTGGAGATGGCGGGGTAGTGTGCAGGGGTCTGTCCGCAATGGAAAACCTATCGATAAGAGCTTACAGGTGAAGGTACACACACACGCACACACACACACAAAATTTATTCCGCCCGGCGGGCCTAACCCGAAAGGGCAACTATCATGCAATCTACTAATACATATCCTAAAATGGATCCTGATCTCATGAAGCCCGTACATCCTCCTTTTCTGGCTTATCTCCTTACAATTTTGCCCTCTCTGCTGCGGATGCTCGTGGGTTAGTAGTACGAATAGTAAGCTGGCTTGAAGGCTAGTCTCCAAGTGTCCAACGTCCTATCTTCGGCGGCTGAAGCGCGCTTACTCCGTGTGACACGAGATGAAGGGGGGTGTTAGTCGGGGTTTAGGATGGTGTTGTTAGTTTGCTTCATTCTGTTGTTGTTCAGTCCTCAGACGACCTGTGGCAATGGCAAAACGTATCGTCGCCCGCACCGCCCGCATGTTGGGGGACCAGTCCTTGTCATCCGAGGGTGACTTTCCTCCCAGGTAGAAGGAGAGGTTCCCCCTGTGGACATCCGTACATTGCAGCATCTCCCTACGGTGTTGATCCCATTGCTTGCATCGGAAGAGGAAGTGGTCCACTGTCTCTCTGGCTTGTCCACACGTACACTGATCTGACGGTGCTGCTTTGATGCGATGCAGGTATGTGTTGAGCTTGGCCATGCCTGTTCTAAGCTGAGCAAGCACGCCGGCCTCGCTTCGGGACAGGTGGTCGTATAATAGTTGGGTGGGCTTCCCTGGTAACGCTATATCGACTCTCTTGGAATGTCTGCCCACTTTGTCAGGTAAGGACGTGGGCGGTGCCCGCTTTGCCCATGCGGTATGTGTAGGTACAGTCACTAGCGAAATCGCCTTCCGCTTTTTACTCTCTGTTCAACTGTCCCCGGGCCTGTTTTCGGGTCTCTTGGCGCTTACACCGTGCCTGTGCCTGTTCCCACCGTTAATTGTCCCGCACAGTCCAGCACAGTGCTTCACTGCCTGCTGACCTGAGCTAGGAGCAAGAAGAGCAGTCAAAAACGACTCTCCGCCTCGTGACAGTAGTTGCGCTTCGTCTTGTCACTGGCTTAGTCACATCTCTGGGGCAGTAGCAGGAAAAGAAAAAAAAATATCAATTGACGCGTTGTTTATCGCAATAATAAAGACTATTACACTACCGGCTGCTCGTTCTCCTCTAGCCATGCCTCCAGAGCTGACAGCGTTGACACTGTAGACGGATGAGCTTCGCCTAGTACCTGTTGCTGGAGATCAAAGCAGGTCTGTAACAAGCCAAGAGCATCTCCATCACGACCTATCCCTTTCCAAGTGAAGGCAAGATTGTTCATGCTGGCCAGCGTGTCGGGATGCTCCTCTCCTAGCATCCTCTTTCTCGTCTCCATCACTTGCACCTCTAGCGCCTCGGCCTCCTTCCACCGGCCTTGGTTCCGGTACGTCGACGCCAGGTTGCCCATGCTGGTCAGCGTGTCGGGATGCTCCTCTCCCAGCACCCTCGAACAGATATCGAAGGCATGTTTGTCTAGATGGAGCGGGCCGAACCGGTGGGGGAAAGGACGGCGTCCGGGGCCGGCGGGCGAAGGTAACGGGTTTTGAGGATCATCAGCCCGCGAGGCTGGGAGCGGTACTGCAGACTGATACAGCTGACTGGTTGGGCGGCAGCTGAAACCACCATCTCAGAAATAGATTGTTTTTCGCCAACCATTCAAGCGCGTGATTTAGTATATAACCTCCCAGATTAATTCATCTTTACTTGTCTTTTCTTAGGGAGCAGTTTTGAGTTCAGTTACAAGCGTTACGCCCGCCGGCCCCGGACGCCGTCCTTTCCCCCACCGGTTCGGCCCGCTCCATCTAGACAAACATGCCTGCCGGCGCACTCCGCCTTCTCGCCCTTGATGGCGGCGGCGTGCGCGGCCTGTCCTCGCTCATGATCCTCCGCAGGCTCATGGCCGCCGTCGACCCCGACGCCCCGCCGAGCCCCTGCGACTACTTCGACATGATCGGCGGCACCAGCACCGGCGGCCTGATTGCCATCATGCTGGGCCGCCTGCGCATGACCGTCGACGAGTGTATCAACGCCTACACCGCGCTGTCCGACAGGGTCTTCGAGAAAAAGAGCCACCGTGTAAACATCAAAGGCAAGCTCCAGGGGCGGTTCGATAGCGCCGAGCTAGAGCGCGCCGTCAAGACTATTCTACTCGATCGTGGCCTTGCCGAGGATACACTACTTAAGGATCCTGATTCTCCTTGCAAAGTGTAATCTACCCCTATATCGGACCTGCGGACGGTCTTCACTAACTTCTGCCAGCTTCGTCTGCGCCACAAGCAAAGAGACTGGCGATACTGTCTGCCTGGCCAACTACCGCTCCCCGCGCAGCGACAACTCCGACCTCCTCAGCGCTACCACGATTTGGCAGGCCTGCCGCGCGACATCGGCCGCGACAACCTTCTTCGACCCGATCGCCATCGGACCCTTTAACGAACAGTTCGTCGACGGAGCACTCGGCGCGAACAATCCTGTCTACGCGCTGTGGAACCAGGCCCAGGACGTGTGGGGCGATCAGCTGCGGGGCAGTCTCAAATGCCTCGTGTCCATCGGCACGGGCCTGCCCACCCTACGGCCTGTGCGCGACGACGTCCTCGGAATCTGGGCCACGCTAAAAGATCTTACGACGGAAACGGAGAAGACAGCACAGCAATTCCATCGCGACAAGTCGCACCTCGACGATGAAGGACGCTATTATCGGTTCAACGTGGACCGCGGGCTCGAGGAGATCGGGCTCGAGGAGTCGAAGAGGAAGACGGAGATTGCGGCTGCGACGCGACGCTACGTCGAATCGCAGGCTGTCTTTAAGCAGATGAAGGCATGTGCGAACAATATCGCCGGACGAGAGTGTTAGTTTGGTCATCATTAGCTTCTAGCTAGTTACATTCAGTCGCTTACTTACTCGCTGGTGCAATCATCAGACTACGGCCCGTACCGAACATCGTTTAAGCCTGCAAGGCGTGCCCGTATCGAATCACTTCGTAGCCCGACCGTTAGCTATCGCAGAGCTCGAAGAGTGCCTTCTCCCGCGACGTCGCTCACGAAAAAACCAGCGACGAATATTCGTCCTATACGGACTCGGTGGGATCGGGAAGACACAGCTGGCGGCCGACTTCGCTCGACGGTACCAGGCCGTCTTCAGCTCCGTCTTCTGGCTGGATGGCCGATCGGAGGACCGGCTGAGGCAGAGCCTTGCTAGCTGTGCAGCCAGGATACCGGAAGGCCAGGTTTCCCAGAGGAGTAGGAACGCTGTGTTGCATAGCGAGGAGGATCTCAAGGCTGTGGTGGCGGACGTGTTGGACTGGCTCGCGCGACCGGATAACAGGGATTGGCTCCTTATCTTCGACAACGTTGACCAAGACGTCGATCAGGGCGGCGAGACGGGCGCCTACGATGTCCGGCGGTATCTGCCCGGCGACCATGGGTCGGTGCTGATCACGACACGACTGTCGCGGCTGGCGCAGCTAGGTGAGTCGACGCTGCTGAGAGGGGTCGACGAACAACTGGCAAAGGCTATTTTCCAGCGGTGGCGCGGGGCAGAAGGAGGTGAGATTTCCGCTACATATGAGTTCGGCCTGGTGCTGATAGACCATAGCTATGGACGAGGCCGGTAGGGAGCTGCTCGGTCTGCTCGACGGGCTTCCGCTTGCGCTGGCACAGGCTGCCTCATATATCCGCGAGACCGGGCTCGATACCGCGTCGTATGTTCGGCTCTACAAGCAGCAGTGGGACGATCTGATGGGATCGGACGGGGAGTCGGGCCCGCCGCTGGTGGATTACGAACAAGGAAGCGTCGCGACAACGTGGACGGTATCGTTCAAGGTGGTTGAGGCACAGAACAAGAACGCCGCGAACCTGCTCCGTCTCTGGGCCTTTGTCGACGGCAGAGACCTTTGGCACGGCCTACTGCAGGCGGCTGTCGATGGCGGAGAGCAGTGGCCTGGATGGCTGTGTGACGTCGCAGGCAACGAGGTCCGGTACTTGGACGCGGTCCGACTGCTGCTCCGGTACTCGATGATCGAGTCTCAGGAATCCGTGCAGGGGAGCCATATGATGCATCCGGTGGTGCATAGATGGGCGTCGCATATACAGGATGGCGCTGGGAAAAGAGAGGTCCTGCGGCTGGCGGTAATGATAGTTGGGTTATCGGTGCCCAGCAGCACGAGCAAGGAGTACTGGGTGGTCCAGCGGCGGCTCCTCCCACATACGGAAAGGTGCTCATGGTGGATAGGGGAGATATATAAGGCGGGACGGAGCTTTGACGATACAAGGGCGACAGACGCAGTGCATATGTTGGGCAACCTCTACGCGTATCAAGGCCGGCTGACGGAGGCCGAGTCGATGTATCAGCGGGCGCTAGAAGGCAAGGAGAAGGCGCTCGGACGGGACCACACATCGACTCTCGATACGGTCAACAACTTGGGTATCCTCTACAGAGATCAAGGCCGGCTGACGGAGGCCGAGTCGATGTATCAGCGGGCGCTAGAAGGCTACGAGAAGGCGCTCGGACGGGACCACACATCGACTCTCGATACGGTCAACAACTTGGGTATCCTCTACAGAGATCAAGGCCGGCTGACGGAGGCCGAGTCGATGTATCAGCGGGCGCTAGAAGGCAAGGAGAAGGCGCTCGGACGGGACCACACATCGACTCTCGATACGGTCAACAACTTGGGTATCCTCTACAGAGATCAAGGCCGGCTGACGGAGGCCGAGTCGATGTATCAGCGGGCGCTAGAAGGCTACGAGAAGGCGCTCGGACGGGACCACATATCGACTCTCGATACGGTCAGCAACTTGGGTATCCTCTATAGGAATCAAGGCCGGCTGACGGAGGCCGAGTCGATGTATCAGCGGGCGCTGGAAGGCTACAAGAAGGCGCTCGGACGGGACCACACATCGACTCTCAATACGGTCAACAACTTGGGCAACCTCTACAGAGATCAAGGCCGGCTGACGGAGGCCGAGTCGATGTATCAGCGGGCGCTAGAAGGCAAGGAGAAGGCGCTCGGACGGGACCACACATCGACTCTCGATACGGTCAACAACTTGGGTATCCTCTACAGAGATCAAGGCCGGCTGACGGAGGCCGAGTCGATGTATCAGCGGGCGCTAGAAGGCAAGGAGAAGGCGCTCGGACGGGACCACACATCGACTCTCGATACGGTCAACAACTTGGGTATCCTCTATAGGAATCAAGGCCGGCTGACGGAGGCCGAGTCGATGTATCAGCGGGCGCTAGAAGGCAAGGAGAAGGCGCTCGGACGGGACCACACATCGACTCTCGATACGGTCAACAACTTGGGTATCCTCTACAGAGATCAAGGCCGGCTGACGGAGGCCGAGTCGATGTATCAGCGGGCGCTAGAAGGCAAGGAGAAGGCGCTCGGACGGGACCACATATCGACTCTCGATACGGTCAGCAACTTGGGTATCCTCTATAGGAATCAAGGCCGGCTGACGGAGGCCGAGTCGATGTATCAGCGGGCGCTAGAAGGCAAGGAGAAGGCGCTCGGACGGGACCACACATCGACTCTCAATACGGTCAACAACTTGGGCAACCTCTACAGAGATCAAGGCCGGCTGACGGAGGCCGAGTCGATGTATCAGCGGGCGCTAGAAGGCAAGGAGAAGGCGCTCGGACGGGACCACACATCGACTCTCGATACGGTCAACAACTTGGGTATCCTCTACAGAGATCAAGGCCGGCTGACGGAGGCCGAGTCGATGTATCAGCGGGCGCTAGAAGGCAAGGAGAAGGCGCTCGGACGGGACCACACATCGACTCTCGATACGGTCAACAACTTGGGTATCCTCTACAGAGATCAAGGCCGGCTGACGGAGGCCGAGTCGATGTATCAGCGGGCGCTAGAAGGCTACGAGAAGGCGCTCGGACGGGACCACATATCGACTCTCGATACGGTCAGCAACTTGGGTATCCTCTATAGGAATCAAGGCCGGCTGACGGAGGCCGAGTCGATGTATCAGCGGGCGCTGTCTGGGTTCCAGGTAGCCTTAGGGCCGTCTCATTGGAAAACTCAAAGTGTTATGCGGAATTTGGATGTGTTGCCGTATGCCAAAGGTATGTCTAAGAGGCCACAATTATTTATTTCGTCCACTAAATGTTCGTGTACAGGTCCGTCGGCTATAACCGAGCCACCACCGCCGAAAGCTAAGGTGAAAATACTGGAGAAATTGCGGGTTAAATTTCGCGGGTTTCCTAAGGAGCGAAGGCGTCCGCTGAGTTGAGGCGCGGCGGAGGATGAACAAATTCCTCTAGCTGCCATCACTCCAAACGAATGTGTTCGCGAATGATAGAATGGCTTTAATATAAAACGCGTCAATTTATTCTATAAATCTCTTAAGTTCCTTCTATCCTGCCGACATGGTTAAAACCAGCGACATGGCTATGTACCAGTCCCTGTCATGAGACGCGAAGGGTTTTGCTCTTTTTTGGTCCGAACACTGAGATTCGCGCGCTGCTCGCTAAGCTCAAGGGCCTTCATGGCCGGAAGACGCTGCAAGGCAAGATGGCTGGCTACATGGACGTGCTCCGAGGCGAGCCGGAGCTGGCGGCCGTGTACCCCGGTGCTGCGCAAGACAGGCTCTTTGAGGCGACGTATCGCCATGTCATCGACGGGATGTCGTGCGAGGGGTGCGGTTGCGGCGGCAAGCTGGTGCCGCGTGCCCGCCTCGAGCAGGGCGATGGACAGCCTGCGGTGCACTTTGGCCTGATTGCGTCGGATGACACGGTCATGAAGTCGGGCGAGGACCGCGACGCCATCGCACAGCAGGCGGGTGTTATAGGTTTTGAAATGGAGGGCGCCGGTATGTGCGACGTCTTCCCTTGCGTGATCATTAAAGGTGCCTGTGACTACGGACAGCCACAAGACCAAGGCGTGGCAGCGGTACGCGGCGGCGACGGCGGCGGCATGCATGAAGACTTTCTTGGGTCACTGGGTGCCTTCGATGACAGGTATGTAATGATCTATCGGGGACGATTAGGGAAATGCTTGCTGTAGAGCACCTGCTAAGTCTCTTAGGATCCCTTCCTCCCCCAGAGCAGCCTACCGGACCTTGGTGTGGGTAGACCATTACGATATTGTCAGGCCAAACTGTACTAACTCTACAGGAGTCCTTGCTCCCTATGATGAGAATACCACGTTCATTGGGCGAAAGTCCATCCTCAAGCAACTCCAGCAACAGCTTCTAGTGTCAGTTTCACACTCGAGGGTTGCGCTCTTCGGCCTCGGCGGTGTCGGGTTAGTTCTGCTTTCCTATGTATAAGTTTGTACTGACCAGTACAGAAAAACGCAAATCGCTCTGGCATACACATACTGGCTCCGACGGACAAGGCCAGAGGTCTCAGTCTTCTGGGTCCATGCGAGCAATGCTGAACGATTCCGGCAAGCGTATGCGTCTATCGCGCAAGAATGTCGGGTGCCGGGCTACGACGACCCAAAGGCAGACGTGTTGTTGCTGGTGAAAGCTTGGCTGGAGAGGACGAATTGCGGCCAATGGCTGATGGTTGTTGACAATGCCGACGACATGCAGCTCTTCTTCGGACAGCATATGGGGCCTGTGAATGCCAGCTCTTCTAGTTACGAAGAGAGCCTCGGACAGTACCTCCCCGAGTGCCCGCAGGGCGCTATTCTTGTCACAACCAGGAACAAGCCGGCCGGCTTGAGGCTGACCAAGGGAAAACGCCCAATCGAGGTCGGGAAGATGGACGAGGGCGAGACAGACCAGCTGCTCCGCGCACACCTTGACGGAATCAGCGTTTCTTCCAGTGAATCCTCTGCACTTTCTTCCCGCCTGGAACACCTTCCGCTCGCGCTCGTCCAAGCAGCCGCATTCATCCAAGAGAACACTATAGCTGTCAGTAAGTATCTTGAGCTCTTGGACAGCAGCGACCAGGACCTTGTCGATCTGCTCAGCGAGGAATTTGAGACGGACGGGAGAGATTCGGAAATGCCTTGTGCAGTGGCTGAGACATGGATTCTCTCGTTCGAGCAGATACAACGGCAGAATGCCTTGGCAGGCGAGCTTCTCTCGCTTATGAGCCTCTTCGACCGGCAGGCCATTCCGTTGGAATTTCTATCCTGTTACAGCAAGCAGCAGGGTCAAGAGCAAAGGGGAGAAATACAGCTTACGAAAGCTCTAGGCGTCCTCAAAGCTTTTTGTTTTGTGGTTGAGGGCAAGGGCCATAGGTTCGATATGCACCGCTTGGTGCAGTTGGTCACCCAGAAGTGGCTCGGAAGGAAGGACACGATATGCCGATTTGCAGAACAGGCACTGTTGGCGGTGTCGCACTGTTACCCATTCGGCCGGTATGAAAACTGGGTAGTATGCAGCGCATACCTTGCTCACGCATATGCAGTGCTGGGCGGCAAAGGCACTGGTTCGAGGGATGAGAAGGCCGGGAAGGCGACTCTTCTACACTCTGTTGCGGTATTCTTGGGTTATCGAGGCCAGTGGAAAGATGCCGAGAGGTTCCAGCTTAAGGCTGTTGAGCTACGAGGAGAAGTTTTGAGAGAGGAGCATCCCTTGACACTGGCCAGCATGGGCAACCTGGCGTCGACGTACCAGAACCAAGGCCGGTGGAAGGAGGCCGAGGCGCTGGAGGTGCAAGTGATGGAGACGAGAAAGAGGGTGCTGGGAGAGGAGCATCCCGACACGCTGACCAGCATGGGCAACCTGGCGTCGACGTACCGGAACCAAGGCCGGTGGAAGGAGGCCGAGGCGCTAGAAGTGCAAGTGATGGAGACGAGAAAGAGGATGCTAGGAGAGGAGCATCCCGACACGCTGGCCAGCATGAACAATCTTGCCTTCACTTGGAAAGGGATAGGTCGTGATGGAGATGCTCTTGGCTTATTACAGGCCTGCTTTGATCTCCAGCAACAGGTACTAGGCGAAGCTCATCCGTCTACAGTGTCGACGCTGTCAGCTCTGGAGGCATGGCTAGAGGAGAACGAGCAGCCGGTAGTGTAATAGTCTTTATTATTGCGATAAACAACGCGTCAATTGATATTTTTTTCTTTTCCTGCTACTGCCCCAGAGATGTGACTAAGCCAGTGACAAGACGAAGCGCAACTACTGTCACGAGGCGGAGAGTCGTTTTTGACTGCTCTTCTTGCTCCTAGCTCAGGTCAGCAGGCAGTGAAGCACTGTGCTGGACTGTGCGGGACAATCAACGGTGGGAACAGGCACGGTGTAAGCGCCAAGAGACCCGAAAACAGGTCCGGGGACAGTTGAACAGAGAGTAAAAAGCGGAAGGCGATTTCGCTAGTGTGTGTACCTACACAAGCACAACAAGCAATAACTGAGTGGCAACGTTCCTTTCTTCAAGGTCAGGGAGATATCAAGTCAACAAGTAAAATAAGTGTGCATTTATCGATCCTGTTACACTGCAGGGATACAAACAAATAATAACAAAGCTGGGATATCGGCCTCGCCAGACCCAACGCCAAATCATTCGCCAAACCCATCACGCCATGACTAGAATCCAACCTGACCCTCAACATAGACAACCAGTCCAAGTCTCCAACAAACTCGGCCAAATAAACACTCAAATCAACTTGAGCATCGTCCTCTGCTGCAGCCTCGTGCCGTTGAGCATAGCCCTCAACTTCTTGGGCCGCTGCTGCAGTCGACGAAAGGCTTCCTGAATGTGGCGGGGCTCGACCGGGCTGCGGCCCTCGCTAGGGGGGTCGAACAGGCCGCCGCCGCCAGGCAGCTTGCGTTTCTTTCCCGCGTTCTCTCCCGTGCGCTCGCGATACTGATCTTCGTTCTCCTTGATCTTGAGCGCCTCCTCCGTCAGCGTCTGCACCATCTCAAAGGTCAGAAAACCCAGGATATCTACAATGTCGTCCGACGGTTTGCTATCCGTAACAATGCCGAAGCCGGCCCACTCGCGGAACCGCTTGCCCTTGCGGTAGGTAAAAGATGCCTGGCGGTATTCGGACCAGGTAACGTATTCCTCTTTGGTCATGGCCTTGGTCCGCTCGTCGGCCTTACGCAGCCGCTGCAGCGTGATGTGGTTCATCTCCTCTTCTTCCTCGTCTTCCTCGTCCTCCCGCTCCGGTACCTCGGCAGGGAAAAAAGAGGCCGGTTCCCAGGGGAGCCCAACCTTGGCCTTCTTGTTCTTCTTTGCCGTGTCGTCAACGGGGCCGCCGGCAACCACGCCACCGCTGGGATCCTCTCCGGCGCCCAAGTCCGCCTCTCCGCCCTTGTCATCCGAGTCCTTGACGTTCTTACGCACATCTTTCCACGAGAGGAAAGTGCGGAGCCGAGAAACCTTCGGGGCGTCGTCGCGGATCTGAAAGATAAGGTCGTTGATGGTGATGGAACGCGATCCGCGCCGCGCCGCCAGTTCCGTACAGTTCCTAAGCTAAAGTGACGGTTAGTAAAAGAAATAGAAGAAAATATAAACGTCTGGGAGTCTAAACTTACAATCTCGATAACTTGCTGGCGCACAATATCCTCGATGATGCCTGTCGTCTCGACAGAAGGCTCTCCCGTTTCGCCCGATACATACATCATCTTGTAATTGTGGGCAAGATAGTCAGCAATTACTTCGCGAGGGTGCGGTTCGATAAGATCGTTTTCCTGCCCGTCAGCAACCACTTGGTTGCTGATGGAAGATATGGCACTGCCATGGGCGAGCTTGAAAGCCCAGCGCAGATGGTTGAGAGAAGTGTCGTGGACGCCCAACTTGAGCTCTAGGCGACGCCGGTGGCTCTCCAACTCAATGCCAGTGCTAGTGCCGGCCGCTTTGTCGAACGCTTGCTGGAATACGGCGGCGGCGGTCTGCGCCTTGCGCGAACAGATTGATGGGCGAAACATTTCTTGTGTTGAGTGGGGTGAAAGTTTCTCCGCAGAGTGAATGTGTTTTTTGGGTTGCTGTGACTCCGGAGTAATGGGTTGCGTAGAATCCGGAGAAACAGATGAGATGGACCCAGTAATAGAAGGCGGTGATGTAAAGTTCGACGAAAGAGGGCTGGTTGGTAGAGAACCTCGTTTTGGCGTCGATGGGGTGGGTGCGACGGCCAATTGGTCCTCGCCCTCCTCGGCCACTTCCCGAGGGGTTTCCATGTCCTTTGCCGAGTGATGGATGGCGTTTTGGTTAAAATGGATATGACCCTGGTGATTTTCCATTTCCATATCGTTGTCCGAATCGGTATCTTCTGAATCAGACGGACAGTGTGAGGACGGGCTCTCATCACATTCGTTATCGCTGTCGACTTGGATCGAAGGGCTTGTCTGTACAGGTCGTAGAATCGAAGTCCTCGGCCGTAAAACCGGCCACCCCTGGAGTGCTCGAGTGATGAGTTCCGGGGTTAAAGGGTTATCGTAAGGATAGGGTGCCATACTGGACTTTTCTAGCTGCTTCCTCTAGTCGATGGTTGTTTTCCCATCGGCCTGGGCACCAACAAAGCTCGATGCTTATGGACAGTGAGCGGTTGCCAGAAGGAGGGAATTGGCCGTAGCTCATAGCCGGACCATCTGTGGGAGTACCGAAAGGGTGTTCACCGGGGGATCCTTAAATAACGTTCATCCCGGAGATGAGCGCCGACAGCAGGATACCCATTCTGGTTCCTTCTCGTTTGGCGATGTCCGACGAGGTGCCCTAGTGTTCTGCTACGTGCTTGTTCCAAACGCCACAGCACCTAAATTCCAGAAATGGGCTTTTTAAGTGCTCTGTTTGTGACCAGCCGACTTTTTGGTTGAACAGCAGCCGCCATCTCTCCACGGCCTCTCCACGGCTGATGCTAGGAGAGCACACTGGCCTGAACAAGGTAGACGACATGGGTTGGCCAGCACTTGCAAAGCCACCTATCATGATGGGGTTGAGTTTAAGTTTGTTCACTTTGAACAGGGCGAGTGTTCACACAATGCCAATGCCAGTGGGACAAAACAATTCAAGTGAATGTGCCGAGCCGCATCTCCAGGCGTTTCTCGGTATGGCCATCACCAACACTCGAGGGTGATAAAGCGTGCGTTAAAGCAACAAAGAGATGCGTATAATATCACAAGCTGGGTAAAAACACTTCAAACTCATAAAGGGATAAGCACAACATACCTGTTGTATCTCCTGTCGATACTTGTACTGCTTGTCCTTGTCTGCCATCTTGTCTGTAAAAGGCCGATTCGCCGATAATGGCTAGTCCAAAATTTTGTACCAAAATAGTCATGAAAAAAACACTTATTGGTAATGATAGGTGGTGATAAATGCGTAAAGTGAGCAAGTGTTAAGTGTGGGTGGACTAGCGGGAAGAAGCGATGGAAGGAGGAATGGGATGGGACGGCGCTTGGTTGGATGGGTCTGTTATTTCTAGGCACTCAATTGTGCATCCGCGCACGGCCCTGAGCCGGTGTGTCAGGCAATACGAATCGAAATTGTTGAAGTAATGAATATCCAAGTTGAACGTGTTGTATGTGCTGTACCTATTCTGGACTGTCACATGCCGTGATAGAGAATTGAGTTTGAGGGTGTCAAGTCCCATCAGCGGCCAGCACGCTGGTTAGTTAGGGCCCCCCAGCCACGACAGTGGATGATTACGTAACACGTAATCATTTGAGACTCCCTTTGACACAGGAGGCACTTGCAGTGTCAGCTACAAATTACAATCACTATACAGTTTTTGCGAATAAATCTCTTATGTTTTTTATATTTTACTGTACTTCAACTCACATTGTACGGTTAGAAGTTTCCTAGTTCCAAATAGTCCCAACACAGCTGGACGAAATGTTTCAACCTTTAAGTTTTACTCTATGATAACTCGGCCGCAGTAGTTTCACCGGTGACTTATTGCTACCCTTGGAACCACATCGCAAAGCAACACTGTTGTAATCAACATACTGACCATTCCACCCCCTTAAGTCATACATACCATCCCCATCTCCTACCCTCCACCACCCACGCCACCACCCTCAACATCCAAATCCCCCTTCCCACCCCTCCATCCCCAAGCAACAATATAATGCCCCGCCAACAACCGCCACTCCTCCACCTCATCCAACCCGCCCTCCAACGAATCCACCCGTTCCTTCTCCTCCTCCCCGACCCAGCCCTCCCAAATTCCATCCACACTCCGCGAGCGGACCTCCACAAACCCGGCCTCGCGCAGCCGCCGCTCCTGGTCGGCCGGCGTGGGGTAGGCCTCCAGCGTCGGCATGTCGATCCCGCGCGCCGCCAGGTTGGACGCCATCGTCTTGCCGAAGGCGTCGTGCGGCAGGATCGGCTCGTACAGCACGAGGGCGAGGTCGGGGAGGTATGCGCTGAAGTGGGAGAGCGCGGCGCTGGCGTGGGAGGGGGCTAGGTAGCAGAGGCAGCATTCTGAGAGGAGGAGGGTTGGGGCGGTGGGGAGGAGGTTGGGGAGGGGAGGGGTGGAGGTGGTTAGGGTGCGCAGGTCGAGGCCGTGGAGGGTGAGGGTGTTGTTTTTGTTGCTGTTGTTGCTGTCGTTTTGGTCGTTAGGAGGGGTGAGTGAGTGGGAGTGCCATGCGGCGGGGAAGAGCGGTTCTGGTGTAGATAGAAGCGTCCGTAGAAGAGGGGTAGAGCTGATGAGGGCTTGTTTACGGGCCATGGTTACTGGAAAGTCGATTTCGTGATAGATGATATTGCGGTGGTGTTGGGCTGAAGCGAAGAGACGCAGACAGCGGGTATCAGTGCCCGCGCCTAGGGAGACGATTTGCCTAGGCTCATCTGGACTGGTGAAGGCGAGGAAGCGGTCGACGAGAGCATCGATAGCGGTGGTCCGCGTATAGGTGCCTCTATTGATGATGGGGAGACGGCGAGTAGCAGGGCCTTGCACAAAGAGCCGGGCGTAGGGATCTGATAGATAGCCCAGTTCCACCGCGCTCAAACGCGAGACGGCTGCGTCGGTGTCGGTGCCCTGTATTGTTGCATCGTGACTGGGGCCGGGCCCGGATCCCGGAGTACCACCCCGGCCCAGGCCACCTCGGGCCCGGCCCCGGCCTCGCCCGGTTACCCCGCCCCGCAAGGAGAGCAGGTTGGGGATTGATGGTGCCGACATGGGCACGCCTTCCATGCACGAAAAGGTAAAAAGGTGTTTGATGAATGGAGGAGGATTCTAGAATTTAAAAAGGTTTAGGCTGTGGATGACTGCGGGCCTGTCGCTTGATAATATCGCTTCATTGATGATGGGCTTGGTCTGGGATATCGAAGAGGGTCTGGTACCTAGCGAGAGCCCCGCATTGCAACTCGCACCTGTACCGACTTGACTCACCCTCGAGTTTTCTCAGAGATAGGGCCACAATACAGTAAACGTTGGGGATTTAGTCGATGTCTACAAAGAAATTATATACATCTACTGCGCCAGCGCCCTAGGCCCACCAAACCACCTATTTAAATTAGCACGGATCTGTGTTGAGATCTCTTACAAGTAGGGTGGCGATGTCGTAGGGTTAGGGTTTAGTGGATGCCTCGAGGCACAGCTGCAGCATCATCGCACTCAGGCAATCCCCCGGACCAGGTTTCTCGATACTTCGGCACTGTGCAAGGCTTGACGAGCATCCGTAAATCATTCATGTCTGGCTCTGACGACAGGTTCAAATGATTTGTCGCATCTGAACGCGCAAGGCTGAACAGTGTTCGATGCTTTTAGTTAGCGCCACCAATAGTTGATTTCTCCGTATGACAGGAGCTTAATTCGCCCATTGCACACTGGATGAACCGGATCGGGCGGGCAGGTGGGGTCCAGGGGCGGTGCTCGCTTCTGTCCGCTGATGCTTGGGATTTGTGCCAGGCAGACGCCCGGATCCTTCTGGGCGTGGCCATTCATGCTCAAGCAATGGGGGTCCGTTTATAACTTGATGAAGCCCCCATCCCGGTGCCATCTCATTTCAACTCTTCCCAGCGTTCGTTCAGGAAGGCTTGGTTTTTGAAGCCGCCCTTCAACTCTGTTATCAGGTTACCAGTTCATCAGTTTCATTCACCTTCGTTTTCTCTTCTTGTATCTCAGCAATATAGCTGTCTCTTCTCTTGGTTCTGTTTAGCCATGTATTCGTCCGTCACCGTCGCCGGCGGGTCGCTGCTCAAGCGACTCGCTGACAACCCACCTTCTCAAACCCAGTGGCCTAGTGCAGTGGCCACATTTGTCTTCATCGCCGACTTCGTCGTCTTTCTCCCCGTCATTCTCATCGTAAGTCAACTTTCTGAACCTTGAGGTTGCCGTTGATCAGCCGGTTGACAACTCTCCCTCAGCTCGTGTACACCCTCTCGAACGTCTACCCCACCCTCGCCGCCGTGGAGGACCCTCTCCCCGACTACGAGGCGGTGCCTATGAACGATGACGGCACCCCCAAGACGGATAACGACCCGGTGAGCGCCGCCCAGCCGGGTAAGCCTATCACGGGCTCTCTCCGCGCTACCAACGCCCTCATCCGCTCACGCGGCGGCTGGCTTGCCAACTTCCGCGGCCTCGGTTACGCCGTTTTGGTCCAAATCATTGTCGCTCTCACAGCCGTATTCTTGGCCCTGGCGCCCTTTATCCCGTTCCGCATCGCCCATCTCATCGCTCTCCTCGCCGCCGCCCCGCTTGCCACCACCTGGACCCATCTCGTCATCACGCCGCCCTCGACCAAGTCCTTCTTCCGCCGCATTCCGTCCCTAAAGAAGGTCTATGTGGCCGCCTGGTTCCCCACCTTCCTGTTCTGGGCCGCCGTCCAGGCCTCCGTCCTCTTCCCCGAGTTGCTTGGCCGCGGCATCGGCCTGTGCATGCGCGACCCGAACAATCCGGACAAGATCTGTGACCAGCCGAAGGATGGCTCCTACCTCGCCAAGGTGATCGCCGTTGCCGGCTTGTCGCTTGCGCTGCAGGTGCTGCTGGCCATTCCCGCCCACGCCGCCCTGGCCCGCGTGCAGGCGTCGCTGCTGCCCGCCGACGAGGACCCGATCGTCCCCTTCGACCGCTCCTTCGCCGGCCGCGTCGAGCCCGAGGTCGTCACCGGGAAGGGCTTCGCCACCTTTGGCGCCGCCATCAAGACCATCCCGCGCTCGAGCTGGCTCAGGATCTACCTGCTGCGCGTCAAGGTCTTCTTCGTGAGTGTGGGCGCCTATTTCGTTATGGGTACCATCGTTGGCCTGGAAGTTTTGGTGATGGGTCTGATCAGCGCTGGTAAATAAGTGTTTTGCCCCTTCCTGGTTCGGGGGCGTGGGCTAGTGGTGAGATAGGAGGGATATGAAGGCATGACAGAATGAACTGTGTTGGATCAAGGATACCTATTCTCCGGAAACCGGTTTCATAGCATTTGACTATCTACAACTCAGCCCTGATTCAGTTTCTTCAGTGGAATTTTTGCTAAAAGAAAAAGAGAAAAAACAACAAAATAGGAACGAGGAGGAAGGGAGGAAAAGAAACAAACAAAAAAAAAAAATATCTTGTTATAGTTACCCAAGATATTCTCGCCAACTTGTCTTTCCTTTTTTGTTCAGTGATCTATCTTGTAGGGTATCAGAGCTATACTCCTATCTATAACGTACGAGAGCACAAGCAAACGAAAGGATACGAAATACCACGCAGTACTTTGCTAGACGAGTGAACGCCCTGGTGGACAAACTAATGCCTTCGCAAACTTCAGACTGTTAGTATACCAAACCGCGCCCCTGGGAGTGTCTTACAAACGCTTCCTTAATTAGTAAGATCAAGGGGATCCGTGTTACAGAAGAACGTAGTACCCCTCCTGGAAAACTGGACTTCGTGTAAAGGGCATGATTTATTTGCTGTCCTTGCTTCCGACACCTCCCTGTACAACATCTGTCACCAACCTCCAATACGCTGATCCAGTCTACAACACGCAACCGGCACGACATTTACTTTGTCCAACATCACACATAAGCAAGAGTTATCTAAGTCAGGCCTGGTCATTGCGGCCCAAGTCTAGCGAGCCACATACCCCCTCAACGAAGGGGCCATACGCTCACGACGACTAGACAAAAGCGGGGAAAGGGTATATATCATCTCAACACACCACCCTCCGCCCTCCGCTGTACGTACCCTCCCATTTCATTTGCTTAATGTACCTCTTGACAAGCCCAGCCCCCGATCCAACACCCAAAATGACACCGACACGCCTCTATGTCGTTTGCTCTCCACCCCGTACATCCCCCCGCTTCTACGACTAGCATCGTTGCCGCTGCCGCTGCCGCTGCTGCCGACTCATCACGACTTCTGGAAGAACCAGCTCGATCTCTTATTCTCGGGCGGGCTCTGGAGATTCGCAATGGTGGGGTGGGCTGAAGCAGTAGAGTCGCCGCCGCCACGAAGCGGTTTAGCAATGCGGCTACCGATGTTGAAGCCGCCAATGCCAGTGGGAGAACCGAGCCCGCGCGTGCTGCCAGCTTTGGCCGCCTCGAGCCGATCTTTGACCGCCGCGAGCTGCACTTCGAATCTGTTGTACGCGTGTGGTTAGCATCCGCGGGGAAAGGGAAAGATAACATAGCCAGGGTGGGGTGAGGAGAGTATCGTACTTGTGATTCGCCTGTGCCATCTTCTCCTGGCTTTCCTGAAGCAGGCTTTCGAGGCTCTGGATGCGCTCGTTACGGGCGATGAGCTTCCGCTCGGCGATGGCAACCTCCTTCTTGAGTGCCGAGTTTTGCTCGACTAGCTGGCGCTGCACCTGGGTGAGTTGCTCGAGGTTGCGCTCGAGGAAGGCCATCTTCTTCTGTTGGGCGCGGTTGTTGCTGCTGCGCAGCACGTTGTTGTACTGCTCGCGTGTCTCGTCGAGCGAGATCTCGAGCTCGACCACGCGCTCGCATCGGTTTTGCAGGTCACGCATCAGGCTCTTCTTCATGACGTCAAACTCGGCTAGCTGCTGCTGCACCGTCTTGCCGTTAGCCATGGGTACCGCCCCGTTTGCCTTGACGCGCCGCTGCAGGTCGTCAACAAGCGCCTTGAGCCGCTCGTTCTCCGATGCCCGGAGGGTGAGGTCCGACTTGAGGCCCTCGATCAGCTCGACCTGTGTGGTCGTCTTGTCGGACAGCGTCTTTGTCAGCATGGCCTTGACCTCCTCCTTGTCCGCCTCGTCTAGGTTTCGCGACAGGATGTCCTCGTGCTCGAGCTGGAGAGCCTCTAGCCGGGTCTCGAGATCAGCACGCTTGCGCGCTTCCGCCTCGTTAGACGCCGCGCTGAACGCGGACAGCTCGGCCTGCCGCACGAAGCCCTGTGTCTCGACCAACTTCTCCCGCAGCGCCTTGAGATCATCAGGCGGGATCGGATCGCCGGTAGAGCTAATCTCGTACAGAGCATCTATTTGCGCGATGGCGTCAGCTACCGACCGCTCGTTGTCGCTGAAGACGTCCCCGCTAAGGTCGAAGCCAGCCATCATCTTGGCCATCTTTTCCGCCTTCTTCTTCTCCTTTTCGTCTAGGACCGCGCTGGTCTCTTTGGCATTCATCTTCATGTCGAGCATTTGCTGTTTTACCTCGTCCAACTCTGCCGTCAACTCCGCGTTGGCGTCCTTTAATCCGTCCATGGTGATCTGCGCCTCCTTGTTTTCGAATGCTAGCCTCTCTAGCTGCATCTTGAACTCGTTGGACTCGCTGACCAATCTCTCGTTATCCTTCCCTATCTTCGCATCGTGCTCCTTTAGCCCGGCCATCTCCTCCTTTGTTTCCCGCAGCTGCCTCTCCATGGTCGCGGCTTGGGTTTCATCTCTCGGGACAAGCTGGTCCTGGGAAGCTCATTCTCGACAGGCGCAGAGAACTCCTCCCGCTCATCCTTCTCCAACGGTAGGCTCGGGGTTCCCAGCTCTCTCCGACATGCCCGGCGTCTCGGCCCCGGACCTGTCGGGCAGTAGCCGGGACGGCGTCGATGGCCTTGCCGGCCTCCCTTCTGCTTTTGCTCCGGCCACACCATCCGCAGAAAGAGGCGGTACCCACCTGTCCTTGGATACCGTCTCTCCGGCACGCCATAACTGTATTTCGCTCTCGAGGTTGACGATATAGCTCTCAAACGTGGTGATTTGCGTCTTGGCCTTTGCGACCATCATCTTGAGTTCGGCCGGGCTGAGTTCGGCGTTGACCTTGGCCTTATTCTTGATCGACTTGGCACGCATACCGAAGCGCAGCGTGCTGAGTGTTTCGGCATCGTTGTAACTACTGGGAGAACAGTTGATGATCAGGGTCGTCCGGCTGTTGCCACCAAGGGACTCCTGCAGGATACGGGTGAGTTTCGAGTCTCGATAGGGGATATGGGAGGATTTCCCGTCTGTCAGCGAGTTGATGACCATGCCCAAGGCACTCAAACTCTTGTTGATCTTCTTCGCCTCTTCGAGCGTCTGACCGCTGGCGCCTGTCTTGCCAACCTTTTCGCTACCCGCCAAGTCGACAAGGAAGAGCTGGCCGCTCTTCGCCGAGCCCGTCTCGACGTTCTTTTGGGTAATGGTAATGACGAAGATGGAGTGCGAGCGCGAAGACTCCTGGTTCATATTCGTCGCAGCCACTGCTCTCGCGTTTCCACCCCTCCGCATGACCTCAAACACTTCCTGCACGCTCGATACGTATATCTCTAGCAGACCCTTAACGTACACCCCGCGGTTCTTTTCTTCGTGAACGGGGAGGTTGTCGTTCCGTGGCTCCAACAGGTCGCGAATTCGTTCCATGTAGATTTCCATGTAGCTGACCCGCACCGTGTACTCGATATTCGCCGTGCTGGAGAGGATGTTTGCAAATATCTGCTCGACGATTCGCGGAATAACACCCTTGCCGTCGTCGTCATCGATGCTGGAGCCCATCATGGTGTAGGACTTTCCCGCGCCCGTCTGGCCGTAGGCGAAAACGGTACCATTGTAGCCATTCAGGATATCGTCGACGGTTGGCTTGATGGAGAAATCGAAGATGTCGGATTGCTTGCATGACATGTCGAACACGCGGTCAAACGTGAAACTTCCTTGCGCCTCGCGGGACTGAACCAGACAATCAGCAATTAAGACACCACAAAGAACGGCAGGGAGCCCAAAGATTCGCGGCGACTCACATCGACGGTACACGTATCTTGGCCATCGAAGCTGACAATGGGCTGGCCGCCCGATTCGATCTCGACCCGATTCTGCGGGCGAAACCGAGCGACGACCTTGATGCTATTTGCGTTCGACATGATGGCTGCCCGCTTCCCGCGCTCCCGGGAAGCGCAAATTCATGAAGGAGAGAAGGTGCAGATTCGGAAGAGGGCGTGAGGCGGGGATGCCGGCTAGAGATCGTCAGGCCACAAGGGAGCCCCCGGCGAGCAAGCGAGTGTGTCGTGGAGGACTTGTCTCACTCCCAGGCGGGCGAATGAATGCGAAGCCTCGGCTGCGATCCGACGGGGACGGTATCGTCAGGCGTTGACAGACAAGAGACTTTCTTCGAGAGGGGATCCTGAAACGGGGTATCAAAATGTCTACAACCTAAGTAATCCAAGTTCTAGAAGAACGTTAGGGAATGTCGGGTGGTGGGGTCCCCGAGGCGGTGTCAGGGGTTTAGGTGGGAGTGGTTGCGAATGTTTTGTGGTGGATCGGGTGTCACTGGGAGACCGAGTACCGGCTGGCGGAATGACGCGCCAGTTCACGCTGCAATCGGTTGTGGGTGGTTGTTTCATGGGGCAATGTACGCCTGTCAGAGCCCCGCTCGAGGCTGGGCACAGCGCTCTGCCGGCCGGTTGCCAGCGGGCAGCATTGTTCCAGCGGGCCAGGAACCAGGGGCCAAATGGGCTTAACAGCGTGGAGATTAGCAATTCATGCAGGTGGGGGGCACACTCGCAGACAAAAAAAAGCCGAACTCCAAGTATCGTAGGTGCTGATGAAACCTTCGACTCGAGGAATGACAAAAGTCACTCCAAAACTAATGGTTTACTTTTGAACGTTCCTCGACTTCTCTTTTCTTCCTTTTTTCTTTTCCTTTTTGCACCCAGTTTCATTTACCTCTTTCACTCGGTTTCTTGGAGTTACTTCATTCTCTGTTCTGGATTTGTTGCTCCCTTGTCGAGTTCGGCTTTCTTTGGCCAGGGGTTCCATCCATATGACCCCACAGCTCAGGTACTGCCGTCGACGGGACTGGCCACGAGGTTGCGCAAGGTCAGGCAAGTGCCCGAGGACCTTCATCCCATCGTTCATCAAACGACGAAATACCTCGGGGGCAACAGTTGGCGCAGGCCCATTCGCGGTATAAACACACCATTAAATGCATTAGCTCCCTAGGTACCCAGAGTTTCTCCTGCGATGATGGTGGGCCGGAACTCCAACCACAGGCCCCGCCTTCCCCTCTCCCTATCGAAATCCCAACTGACCCTAAAGGCGCCCAACCAGCGAGTGTTGCTAACGCGACGCCCGACACTAATGTAATGACATGCCTTCCAAATGCTGACAGACACCGGCCAAAACGCCAGAACTCCGAAACAAAAAGAGTGGGTCGGGCTTCAACAACCCATGCTACACTCTCCAAGTGTGTGGACTCGCTTCCCCCCGTAGATCTTGCGGCGGCCGCCGCCAGATATTAAGCCTCGCTGATCCAGCAAGTTTTCACGAGGTGGCCACTGCGCTTTCAGTCGTCCCAGCTCTTCTCCACGGTCTCCCGAACCCGCTTGGTATACTCCTTGCGGTTATCTTTGTATAAGTTGGACGCTTCGACGTTCGCGGGAGATCCGGTGTTCGGGTCGTTCAACAAGCTGCGAGTAACGTCAGTGACGAATATTCCAACCCCGTACCTAGCGTACCCACCTCTGAATACTGGTAAGCACGGCTGCAACGTCGTAAGTCGGACTCCAGCGGTTCTGGAGAATATCGAGACATAGCTCGCCCGTGGCGTAGACATTTGGGTGGAACATCTGGCTGATGAACTTCACGGATGGCGGCTTGTTAGGGTATTGTTCCTCGAAGTGCATCACAAGCCTGAAGGTTCCGTCTTCGAAGGGGGTATCTGCGGGACCGATAATGACGGCGTTCCTGGTGAGGGCTGAGTTAGTGGCTGCCGTCGCCGGGCATCGTCACGATGAGTGTTGCTCACCAGGTCATGACATTGTCGGGGACGGGAGACGCAGAAACACCAGCAGGCGGGTCGGTCTGCATGCGCTACAACTGGGGGGTTAGCATCGCGGAAGCTCCGGAATAAGCGCTCCTCGGGTGGAATCCTCGCACCTTGAAGTCTCGCATTAGGCGGCGGCGAGCGGCGGTCGACATGGTGTTTGCTGAAACACAAGGAACGCTAGGGACGTTGTTGAAGTCCTGGTAGGGTGTGAAGAAGTATCGCTAATGTAGCACGAGGGTGGCAAGAAATTAGAGCTGAGGTCAGAACTGACGCGGACAAAACGCGGTGCTGGGGGCGAGTCGAGTTGAGGGCGATGATGGATTCCAGACTGGGCCTGTCGTTCAGGTGAAGGTTATTGAATTAGCGGGGGCGATGGTGGCCAATTAGGAAGGGCTGGAACGCCTGGACAAGTGCACCGTGCGGGGCCGACTGGCAGACCCGCCGCTGAATCGCCTGTCGATCTGGCAGTTCCTGCTTCATTGTGGGGGATTGCAGCTTTGAAGGCCCAGCACAAGGCAGACCAAATCTTCTACTCAGACTGAACCTTGGTGTGAGAGTTCTTTGTCTCCTGCGACATCGAGTTCCTTCCCAAATGTCCAACCGCTCGGCTCCACAGGAGCTTACCTAACCAAGCTTTCCATTCCCGGGGTGCCGAAGTGGCGGGGGGAGCTCCATCTCACCCGACTTTCGATGTCCCCACCTCCACACCTTGCCGCCCCGTCGTCCGTCACAAGCCGAGCAGTGCCGCTTGACCAAGTCCCAGCGTCATGTCTTTAAGACGCCAACCCTCGGCAGGCCGAGTTCGCTCGTGACATGTGGTATTTCGTCTCCCACCCTCCTCCCCTCTGTCTCGTAGTGATCCCATTATTCCGTCACTGTTGACTTCCATTTTCACTTCGTTGAGCACACTGTCCTCCTAGTAGCAATGGCGGGGCAATTCAGGCACGCGCTGCGCGTATCATCGCACCTCAGGACCGGCTCGGCTCGGCTGTTCTCGTCACAAGCCTGCCTTCGTCAAGAGATCCGAGATGCCTACATTCTGAGCGCATCTCGGACACCAACAGCCAAAGTATGTGTTGGATCAGCATCTCCAGAGCTTTGGGCCCTGCTTGCGGTCGGTTGTCTGATATTTTTAGTTTAATGGCTCTTTTTTGAGCGTTACCGGTCCACAACTCGGTGCTGTCGCCATCAAGTCCGCGCTCGAAAAGTCCAAAGTGCCCGTCAGCAAGATCACCGATGTTTACATGGGAAATGTCCTCCAGGGCTCCGTCGGGCAGGCTCCGGCCCGCCAAGCCTCCGTCTTTGCCGGCCTCCCTCCGTCCGTCGAGGCTGTCACTATCAACAAGGTGTGCGCCTCCGGGCTGAAGGCCGTTGCTTTTGCGGCGCAGAATATCCAATTAGGTCTCTCCGAAGCCCAGATTGCTGGCGGGTTCGAGAACATGTCGAGGGTGCCATATTATATGCCGCGCGCGAGCGGTTTACCAGGCTTCGGCCATGTAAAGATGGAGGACGGGCTCATCAAGGACGGTCTCACCGATGTCTACGACCAGATCCACATGGGAAACTGCGCCGAGAATACGGCCAAGAAATATGAAATCTCGCGGGAAACACAAGATCAGTACGCCATCCAGTCGTACCAGCGGGCGCAGGCCGCCTGGAAGAACAACGCATTTGCCGACGAGATCGCGCCAGTCACGGTCAAGGGGAGGAAGGGGGACACGCTCATCACCACCGACGAAGGATACCTCGACGTCAAGCTGGAGAAGGTGCCCAGCCTCAAGCCGGCATTTGTACGTGACGGCACCGGAACTGTGACGGCGGCCAACTCATCGACGCTGAACGACGGTGCAAGTGCACTGGTGCTGGGCAGCAGGGCGGTTGCGCAGGAGTATGGTGCTGGCTCGCGGGTTCTCGCACGCATCTGCGGTTCAGCCGATGCCGCTGTAGACCCCATCGATTTCCCAATTGCCCCGGCCAAGGCGGTCCCTATTGCTCTCGAGCGAGCCGGCATCACCAAAGACCAGGTCGCTGTTTGGGAGTTCAACGAGGCCTTTGCCGCGGTCATCAAGGCCAACGAGAAGGTAAGGCAACCCAGCCGCCCTCCCTAGGATTTGGAACCCACACTAACCGCGGCATCTAGATCCTTGGCCTGGAGGGCGCAAGAGTGAACCCACTTGGTGGAGCCATTTCACTCGGTCACGCCCTCGGCAGCTCGGGGTCGCGTATCCTCGTGACGCTGCTCCATCAGCTCAAGCCTGGTGAATATGGTGTTGCGGCCATTTGCAACGGTGGAGGTGCAGCATCGGCGATGGTTGTGCAACGAATCGAGTCTGTGTAAACTACGGAGTACAAGGGGATCCTCAGTACGAGTACAGATACCGTGCCATTGTATGTAGGGTTAGGGTTGTTTATGGTATCTCGGTAACTTCTGTGGTGACGGTGTTATTTGAAGCATGGCCGTTCTTTTACAATTTAAAGAACAAAAGTCTAGATACAGGGAGGGTATTTACGGCTATTTCAATCAGTTGGTTATGTTGCATATCTAGTACCTGTCTTGGAAGGAATGTGGTTGCTATCAGCCGCTGTTTTCGGTTGTGGGAAGAAACCGTTGAGCTACGACCATCTTTTTTCAACATTCAATAAACAACAATACACACCGGACGGTGTCTTCAAGATTCTGTCGTTCTGGTGACTCGGACTCGGCACATGAATCACGAGACCCGTATCTGCATCTTATTCCTCATTGGACTTCCGGGCCATCTTCCACACACGATGCAGCAGTAAACCCGGGTCGAGTCGCGTTCCCACACTCCCGCTTTCATCAACACCACCGCTTCCATCATTTCTTTACCTCGATACGCATCACGCATCCCCCATCTTTTTCGCCACGCTTTGTACCACAATTCATTTCACACAGTTCATTTCAAGCAGAATTTAGCGTCTTCGCCGCCACCATGGCACATGTGGTCAAATTCCTGTCTGGTATCAGGACCTTCGTTTTGGAGCAGAATGGGGACGAACTTCGCAGCTGGCTCGTGGTAGAACCTGACGTCGCCAGTATATACTTTGAAATGAGCAACGAGCTCAAAAGCAGCTTCCCCGCAAACTCGTCAGCTCTCGAAAACCTGATCGACAAAAGTCTTCCGCAAGAGGACAATGTGCCAGAGGGGAAGGGATCCCCATGGCCCAGCTTCAACTCGTTCATCAAGGAGTACCTGGAGTACTGGCGCGACGTTGACTTTGCTGATATTGTCCGGTTACATTCCCGGCTCAGCGACCTCCTCAAGTACGGCTGCCGTCTCCCTACACCTCCCCCAATGACTGCCCAACTAATATACCTAGCTCTTGCGCAAATGCTCTCGCCAATCCCACATATGGCAGCATGCTGTTACAGACCAGCATGTCACTCTCAGAATCGCTGTCCAAGTTGGTTATGAGCCTCACTAGGCAGAAGGATCTTCTTGCGCAAATCCAAGGCGGTATGGCCGAGGGAGAGTCGGGCGAGAGGAAGTCTGTTGTCGAACTAGCAGCCGACATCATCCAAAAGATCTTCACTTCTTGTCTCACAGACCGCTCCAGCACGAGGTGGTCAGAGCCGAAAGGAAAGAAGGTGGCTGTCTATCTATTTGCCAACCTCACTTTAAAATTACTTTTCGCCGTAAAGCCCCCCCTCTCTCTTCGCCGTCACCTACCATGTGCTAACTGAATACAAGTGCGACAAGAGTCGCTTAGCCGTGCAAATGTTCACCAATCTCTCGACAAGCGGGCCGGCGCTTTCTCTCTTTCCGGCATCCCAGCGAGTCACCTTTCTCTACTACCTCGGCAGGTTTCACTTCGACCACGATCACTACATGCGCGCCGAAAAGTGCTTGGCCGAGGCCTACCGCGAATGCCTACCGCAATTTCAAAAGCATCGCCGACAAATACTCACGTACTGGATTCCCACCAACCTCCTACTCGGCCGCTTCCCCTCTCAGGCCCTTCTCCAACGCCCTGAAGCGGCGGGGTTTGCCGATATCTTTCTTCCCATCTGCGCCGCCATCCGCTCGGGGAACTTTGTAGCTTTCTACAAAGCTCTCGATCTAAACCTGGACTGGCTCTGGGACAAAGTCTTCTACCTCAAATTCCTCTACCGCCTGAAACCCCTCGTCTGGCGGTCCTTTACCCGAAGAGTGTTCCTAATCACCTGGCAAGGCACGGCAGGCGAAGGGGGCAACCGCGCGGCCTCCCTGTCATTCGAAGACCTGGCTACCGCCGCAGGATACGTGCAGAAGCTTTTGGAGGGATACGTGCCCGCACAACCAGCGGCACGGCCCCGGCCGTCTGGTGTGAACAATCTCCTCGTTAAAGCCGTCACTAACAGCGCCGCAAGCGAGGCAGACGCGGACTCGCTGCTAATGCCACCACCGGGCGGCCCTCGCCGTTTGATGCCATCCGAGGGGCTGATCTTTGGCAACCAGAGGCCGACCCCCGAGAAGCTAGAGTCGGTTATCGCGGGGCTTGTGTATTCGAACTTGCTGAACGGGTTTATCGCCCGCCAGCAGAAGCGGTTTGCCGTCGAGGGGGCCAAGAAAAAGGGCGGCAACGCTGTCGCGGCGGGGTGGCCCGTTCCTTACGAGAGCATCCTGGAACGGGCTCAAGAGGCTCACCAAGAGGCGTTGGACGCGTGCGATGCTGGGGAGAGCACAGACCCACCTGGCGAGATAGACGATGTCCCCGGCTGGGTGCGTATTCCGAGCTAAGGTTGACGGGTAACATAGGGGTCTGTGGCATGAGCCAATCTGTATCATCATCTACACAACATCATAGCGAAACTTGAATTTGGATATCACATGCCGATGCTGTCTCACCATGTTTCAAGAATGGCATTCAAGGGAGGGTGACGGGCTAACTGAACCTGGCATCGGCTTGCGAGTATAGATTTCTGGCCCGCAGCATTTATCTCGTTTCCTCACAAAGGCAACGCGAACAGGCAGCCTGTAGTCGTCAATCGTTTTACTCTCATTGACTAAATTCGCCATGTCTACCATATGGAATAAACAACCATCGAGGGGACCGACGAGCACTCCTTTTCCATTCGCCGGTTTTCCAAAAAGAAAGTCAAGCCATCCGAATCCAGGCCATCCATCCCGCATCGTCCTCATTCCGGCCATACATCTCTCTTCAGACATAAACCAACCAACTCATCCCAAAAGAACACAACACACACAATACCCCGACCGAAAACACACCAGTGACCCAACCGTGGGGTTCAAGAACCCAAGAAACGAAACTCAGGGGTATATCGCGAAGTTGCAGAAACAACTTTTGAACAGAATGCGGCGCCCGAAGAATTGAGCAAAGGGCGGCAGCCAAGAATCGAAAAGGCGAAGATAAAGACGGATCCGATCCCCCAAAAAACCGAGGGAACGACCGCCATCGGCGAAAGGTAGCGGGGGTTCTGCCGAAAGGAACCCCCTAAAAAGTAATAAACAATAGCGCAGGCGCAAACCGCGGGATATAAGGCGTCTCTATAAAATAGCAATTAAGGGGTGCCGATCCCGTCGTCGGAATGGAAACGTCTCGAAGGACGAGATCGGGGGCCCAGTGGGGGGGAGGGCAATGTTGAATCGAAAGAAACGCAGCCAACCACACCAACAAAAAACAAAGCCAGCGGTGCCGCAGACCTAGAACAGCGCGGCGGCCGCCACGAGGGCAACCACCAGGCCGGCAATGGCAGACCCGCCCTCGGTGGCGGCAACGCCCTCGTTGCTCGAGGTGGGCGCGGCCGGCTTCACGGCGTCGGGGGTCGGGGTGCGCACGGGCTGGGCCGTGGGGCTGGGGGTCGTGTAGAAGGACGTGTCGCCCTGCACGTCCTGCTCCTGGAAGATGCCGCCGTACCAGGCCTCGGACGAGGTGGGCTCCGCGGAGGACGGGGTCGTCTTCTTGGACGGCGAGGGGGACGGGGCCGGCGTCGTGCGTACCCGCGTGCTGGTCGGCTTGGGGCGGATCGTGGTCTTGGGGGGTTCGGGCGCTTTCGAGGTCGGCTCCGGCTCGTCGTCGTCGCTGTCGCTTTCGTCGTCGCCGCCGCCTTGCGATCCGTCGGTGTTGAAGACGACGATGTTGGCGGTCTTGCCCTTGGATACGGTCACGACGCAGAAGGAGTCGCCTCCGACGCTGGTGGCGCTGACGGGGCTTTCGAGGCTGCCGACGCCGCCTTTGGATGGGTCGATGGCGCAGGGCAGGCCGTTGCAGCCGCCGTCGGGGCACTCGATCTTGATACCGTAGGTCGGGGTGATTTTGGCTAGGGGCACTTTGAGATATTCGGGGTTCCAGGCAATCTTGACGAAGGTGTCTCCGTTGGCCATGGTGTTGGCTCCAGCGACGAAGGGCGTCCAGTTGCCGAGCGCCTTGGTCACCGACCCCCAGATGCAACCGACCGCAGCAGATATCCCAGGCGCATTAACGTAGTAGCTGGCGGTAACGGTTAGCGCTACTCCAAGGGGATAGTTAGCCACAGTAGGTACTCACTGTGCCGAAGTGCCCTGCCAGTAGTCCGGCCCCGGAACAGCCAGGGTCGCTGAGTCTGTGACGTCGGTCGGGATGATCATGGCCTCGTTGCCCGGCAGCACGGTCTGGCAGAAGGACACAATCTTTCCCGCCTTATTCACAGCCTTGACCGCGCCTGTGCCGTCCACGCAGTAAGGGCCATCGAATGGCTTCTCAATCTTCCCACCGTTGCAATAGACGCCGCCATACTACAAGAAGTTGTCAATATCTCGGCTCGGCTTGTAAGAGAAGCGGACCACCAACCATCGATTCAGGATAGACCTGTACTGTGTCCGGCTTCCACTGCGCCATCACCTTGCCCGGCCTGCAGGCGATCGGGCACCACTTCCCATCCTCGCATGGCTCATCCGGACTCATGGCGAACCCATTGTTGACGTCTCCCGGGACGTGCACCAGGTCGGGGTCATCCGGTAGCGAGCATGAGGCTTTCCTCGCGGCGACCTTGGGCGCGCTGATGATCTCGTCGGCCTGGCGGTGCTCGTGCCCATGCCCGTGCCCATGTCTCCTGGCATATTCAATGTGTGCGTGTCTGTGGCCGAGGTTGGCGGAAGCTGGGTGGGCGGAGAGAATTACGGAGGCCGAGCCGATGGCGGCCTGGACTATCGAGAGTTTCATGGCGTGGGAGCTGGGGAGCTGTGGCTGGAGATATGTTGATTGTGGATGAGGCAGATGTCCGGGCTTTTGCACTGCCTCGAGAAACCCCTGACTGATTCAAGCTTTTTCCAAGTTCCCCCTAACTAATCATGCGATTTCCGAACCGAGGCGACCGAGCGAGCGAGTGTGCGTGTCGGCCAGTCTAATTTTGTGGGGAGTTGATGAACGAGTGTCACCACAACGGCCACAGCGTCGAGGGATATCAAACGAGAGGATCGCTCAACGCGTGTCGAAGAGGGAGAAAAAGAGAGAACGTTCTGCACAAACCCAGAACGACGGTGAGGAGGCCGATGGTGGTGTGTGGAGAGAGAAAAAGGCGCGATGCCCAGCTTTGACTGAGACCCCCGTGGACCTCCACTGACCTCCCAGGCGTTGCTGCATCATTTCTCCGGGGCACAACTTGGGGCCAGCGACCAGGCTCAAGCTAGGCCAACAAGAGGATCGGGCTTGAGGGAACCCCATGTCCGCCCTGGAGGAGCTGCCCAATCAAGACAGCGGGCCGAACGCGGTTCCTGGTGTTTCATCTCGGCAGTGGACACGCATCGACAGGGGCGAGGCCAGCTTGGGCCAGGCACACCCGCCCTGGCCCAATGGCGGCCGCATTTTGAGATTGCGGTGCGAACGGCCCAGGGCCCAGACTGCCATTGACTGTTTTCTCTGGCACGTCAAAAATGGAACGAATGGGCAGTGGTGGGATTCCACCCCTTGTTCAGATCTAAAAAAGTTTGCGTTGGTTTTTGTGATCCAGAATTGCTTCTTTTTTGGCTTGTTGGACGGATTCCCTGTTGAGTATGTACGGAGTATGAATGGGAGATTGGATTGTCGACCACAATCTCGCAGTTGGCGTGCTCCCGATGCAAGACAGCCGGTCTTTTGGTGGCTTGTTGAGCACGGCTGGGGTTGGTCGTCGGTCTCCGACCGAGTCACCGGCTTTGACATGGTAAAAACGCGCTTTTCTCGGCAAACTTGGCACAGACAGCTCTCAGCCCTGTGGGAAACCTCTCATCGCGGCAGATATATCCCCGTTTTTGGATGGAGGTCCCGTCGTGACGGCTTTTTTCTTCTTGGGAAATGATGCCGTCACCAACCGCCAAACAGGAGGGCTGTTGTGGTTGGGTTCGGCCGGCTAAAAACAAGCCATGCCGTCATCACAGGACGCTGCCCATCTCGCTTCCCGTGGCTCTTACCATACTTTATACGGCCCGGATTTGTTCCCTGTCGATAATTGCATGGTGTTTTACCGCATAAACTCCTAGATGAAATCATGGGTCGGGGCAAGGCAGGACTGCACCCAACCTGGTGTCCTAATAACACGTCCTATTCCAGGTTTGATTCTGTGAGTTCCTTCTTCGGGGGGGGTTGCTGAGACCCAAGACCCAAGCAAGCCCTCAATTGTGAGGTTGGTATGGCGTATTCCGGCCGCCACACGGCAAAGCTGCTGGTGACTCTCTCCTGGCAACAGCTCAAGTATTACCCTTGACTTCCGCGGGTATCAAAACGGCCTAGTCTTGCGAGGAGCCCACTAGGAAAAAAGAAATCAACTCTCAACACCGAAGAGGTTGAGTGTGTTCCTAGAACAAGAAAAAGAAGCTGACAAGGGTGAGATTCGAACTCACGCCCCTTTCGAGACCACGGATTCTGATTAAGGGTTGAACACCTTAACGTGGCGCCTTAGACCGCTCGGCCACCTTGCCTTTTGATGATTGTTGTGGATAGAGTCGGTTGCAAACTCTTTTTGTGGAACTGCAGCTGCGTTATGATGGGGCCGGGAAGTGGAGATGTGGATGGAGATACCCACCTCAGGCATTCAGTTCTGAGCTGAGTCCCATCATGGTTGCTGGGTATTTTGTAAGTTGGAACTACCTATACAGATTACAAAATGTAGATTCCGAAAGTGAAAAAAAATGACCTTAAATATGGGCATCTATCTGCTGGGAACTGTCTGGGTATAAAACTGGCACTTAATGATTGTTGCTGCAAGCCAGTTATTTGATGAAGTGACTGGTAGATAGAGTTAACTGGAAGGAAGTCATGCAGGCTTGAGCTGCGGAGCACACGTGCATAATCGCAGGCTCATCAAACTACCCAAACATGTAGAGATAAACAAAACATCATACATCACGTTTTGTTTGGCAGGCGATAAGTTTTACCTAAGAGAGGTTGGTTTCAATTTTCTCCCTTTGTTCGCAAAAGAACAGCATTTAAGACAGCTGCTTGCTATTGAGGTTTAGGGTCAAAAGGCAAGTAAGCTTCATCTCAACCAAAGGTCCACCAAAACCCAACAGTGTGAATTCAGTTGGTTTTGGTTTGCACACATGCGAGAGAACACAAGCTCTTTCTTCCATTTAAATTCCCGAGCGATAAAACACTGACAACACGTGGTTTTCACGTGTCTTGGTGTGAAAATCGTCCCATTTGCTCCAGGTCACGGGACGACGCGACAAACCAACGACAATCCAAGTTCTTCCAGCCAAAATCATGGCCAACACAGCAGCACAAAACGATGCCAGCACTGACTATTGGCCAATACATATTGCGCGCAGTGATGGCCAGGCATACGCGAATCTCGACCACAGCTCGCTGAGCCCTACCGAGGATCAGGATGTAACCCAGCTCGAACGATGGGAGGTCATTGTCGCCGGCCATCTTCAAAACCAGATGGCGCCCAAGGACGATAGTATGTTTTCTGGTTGCTGGCTTTTTGGATGTTTTTGGATGGACCGACGCTAACCCAGCCAGAGAAGCAATATATCCTCGCAGGGTTCCCTAAGGGCTACGAGCTACGGTGCGCAGTGAGGAAGGATGGCGGTAGAGACTACTACTTGTACGGGCATCCGGCAGGACCCAAGGCGAATTACCGCACCCCCGGCGAGTTTGCCCTGCATGCCTTGTGGCTCGCAAGCGACTCGACCGACAACAGCCAGTGTCCCTGCGACCTATGTCCGAAATACCTTGAAAAGGCCAAAGCGGAGAGGGAAAGGAGCCAAGCACCTGTGATCCCGCCTTCGGCTCCTGCTACCGTCGCCGCTCCTGGGCCAGCCACGGCAGTGCATCCCTCCGCTGTACCGCCGGCATCAGCAACAATTCAGCAGCCACCTCCCCAACAACAGCGGCCACTACCTCCCCAGCAGCAGCAACAGGAGCAGCAACAACCGCAACCGCAGCCACAAGTCCCGCCCCCACCCCCAGGGACCACCAGTTGGACCAATGTCTTCCGCGTGGGCGAGTTGGTTTGGTACAAACACACAGCATGGCGGTTGGGTGTGGTCATCGCCATCACCCCCAAGCCCGGCACCACTGTCCCCCCAGGCGCACCCGACTCCAGCTACCACTTCACCCTGGCCCCTCTCGGCCACACACTGCTCGAGCAACCAAGCCTGATCAAAGACTGCCAATCCATGCGACCCTTCCTGACCTTTAGCGTGCCCAATGCGGGCATGGAAGAACTTAAGGACAAGACTTTCGACACGGTCAACTGGCAAGCCATGACCGGCCGCCTCTCCCAAGAGCCCGATCCCACCAAGCGCGAGATCAACCGGCAGGTCCTCGGTCTCGAAGCCTCCAAGATGGGCGCGCGCGCTATCAATGATGCCTTCTCCACCTTCGACCTGCTTGCCCAAGGCACCACGCCCGACCGCACACTCCACGTGCAGCACTACGGCGGCATCTACCTGGGCGCCGAGATGGTCCGCATCGGCGACCCCGTCCGGGTCATCAACGCCCCCTCCGCCACAACGCCCGGCGGTGCCGGCCCCGCGCAGCCGGACCTCCCGCCCGACGCCAACCTCATCATGCTCATCACAGAAATCCAAGTCCTCACCCCAACCTCCCCGCCCGGCGGCGCGCGCGCCACCCTCCAGTTCAAAGGCAACCTATACCGCACGGCGCGACTCTCCTCCACCCACCCACCACCCCAGGGCACCGTGCCCCCCGCAGCGGAAGCCTCACTCGGCGCGGCCTTCGTCGAGGAGCTGGCGACGCGCAACGCCATCGGCAAGGACAAGGGCGCGCGGTGGAGCTGGGTGCTGGTGGCGGCGCAGGTGCTGCGCGGCGAGCACGACGTCCAGGGCCGCTTCTACGTCACCGAGAAGCTCATGAGCGTCATCGACCCGGCCCGCCTGCAGGCCTGGGTCCAGCGCGGCATGCTCGAGGAGGCCCCTGCGTATCTGAATAATAGGGGGCATAGTGGCGGGGGCCAGTATGTGGGCAGGAAGCCGGGCAGGAAGGCGACGCTGGGCCAGGCGGTGGGTGTTGAGTTTCGCATGCCGGGGGGGTTGGTTGAGAATTAGGGAGGGTGGGTGACTGGCTTATGGGACAATGATATTATTGTTATGTTGTTCTTATCGGGATTGTGGGCTCATTTGTACTGCAACAGGGAGAGAAAGGATGTTACCCAATTTGCCTGTGTGCTTCGGCTGGGGAGGGCCTTTCGACTAGGACGATGCTCTATGTTGTAATTCTACGTCATATCATGTGGGTAGTTGATGCTGCTGGGCAACAAGCGACGACAGCGGCTCATTATCATAATAACAGAATCGTGTCAGGCGCAAATGTTAACGCCTTCTTTCCGTCTCTTCGCTATGGGGTTGAAGATGTCAGTGGCTTGGCGGGCACTTGCCTTGTGGCGCTGATCGCGCGAAACGTGGTCGAATGTATTGGCCGTCATGATAGTTGAAACTCGATTTCGAGACGAAGCCATCGTCACGGTAACTTTGGTGTAAGTGGAGACATCTGCACTCCGTTACGGACCTCCGTTTTCGTAAAACCCACCACCAGAACCCTGCGCGTCAGCGCCCCTCTCCGAAGGTTTTCGGGTTTCCGCTCGTGTATTTTAGAAAGTCAGCGAGGGTCCGTGGCTTCCATGGGCCAGCACGAAACACGCCGTTACAGCGTTCATCCTAACAAGACAGAAACCCCAAGCAGCGGAGCGACTCCGCTACCGAGCCTTCCCAGACAGCCGGGTCGGCTGGGAAAGAGGCGGTGAGACTGGTGAGATGAGCGGATGCTGTGCAACGGCAAACGCGGGACCGACAACACGAGCATTGGTTTTCCAGAATTACCGACTGACCGGTTGGGCGGGAAGGGAATTGGGGAGGGGTGGTGGTGAATCAACGGGTGAGGTTGACGAGGTCAAAGTTGAGATCTGATGATTGGAGCCGTGGAATATTAACTCCCCGGCCGATCTGCACTGTTCAGAGGAGGAGGTCCGGAAGTGGCTGCGTTTCCGGTCCACTGGGCTTGCTCAGCTGTGAGCCGTGCCAGCCCAGCGCCCGCCGAGGGCGTGGGGGCTTCATCAATTCATCATCCTCCCATCATGTGAACCTGGCTCCCGAAGAAGCCATCGCGTTTTGGGGGAAGTGGAAGGTCGCTATCCGCCAGCGGAGCGATGTTTCAGTCCATAAATTATCCGAACCAACACAGGAAACTGATGACCTTGGTAGAGGAAGTGGCAAGATCAGCCTCCCCAAGTTTTTTCCAGCGGAATGATTCGGAACGTCGCAGCTGCATCGCACGGCCGCGTGTCGTCAATGCATCGCAAATGGGTGTGTTGTTTCGTGACACGGACACTGTCCGCGAAGCAAATCATCTTTCTCAGCGCCCGGGCCGACCCTTGCACTGCCCAAGCCGAGCGCCTGAGCCCGGGCTCGGCAGCCCGATCCTGCACACCCAAAACAGCCCCTTTCCGCAATCTGTCCCAAGCAGCTGGTTCGAGCTGTGTGTGTGCGGCGCCATCCAATCCAAGCTCCCAGGCCAACCCCGAGGGTCAAAATCTCACCCTCTTCTCTCGGCTGAAAGAAAGGCCCGAATCCGCGCTCGCCCAACGATACGCCTGCTATTGAAATGCCGAAATTGATGCAGTCAGCAGGGCACCCTTCTTGAGTCTCGAAGAAAGTTGGTTGGGTTGGTGGGGCGAGTGCAGCAACTGAGCACCTGTGGAACGGGGGTTATCCTCGGTTGTTACCAGCCCGTCGGTAACCCGCCGGGTTTCCGTGATGAGAGAGTCTGAGCACAGGAATTGATCGCCAGGAAGGTAAAAGCCATGGAAACCTTTTCCGCCGTCATCCGAGACACGGAGAATGCTCGCGTCATCTCTCAACTGGTTTTCCAAAGTCTCAGCAACAGTGCTAGGTAGTAATCAGCCGGTTCCCGACCGAGTGGGTGGGTGGCGGTTCATGTAACTATGTAATGTCATGTAACAGTCCATTGGCGCACAGTATACAGCGCACGCTGGGGGTGAGGTCTGGTCAGCAGGACCCGACTTCCACTAGAGGTAACGTGAACCGGCAAGGACTTCGTCGTAGCAAACCCACCGCCACCTTTCTCCTCTCTTGCCCCCCCTCAAGCGCTGCCGAGAAGGGAAAAAAAGAAAAAAAAAAAAAAAAAAGAAGGAAAGCAAACCCTGCCGACCGGTCAAGCCAACATACGATGAACCCCATCCGCCCAGACTGTCGGTTCCCGTAGCCCTGTCTAGACTCGGGATAACCCACGACTACCCGTCCCGCCAGGAGGGAAAGGGAGGGGTGGAAAAGCAAAGTTATGGAGCAAGGCCCGCATGTGCCTATGTGTTGTCGTCTCTCGGTTCGGTGCAGCCAGCCGAACAAAACAAACAGAGCTTCACCGACAGCTTGAATCCCGCGGCTAGGTGCATAGCTACAACATGTGCACGCCGCACAACGCTACTGCCGGCACCCCGAGGGTGAAACAGCGCTGCCTACTTCGTACTGCTTTGCCACGCCGTTTTGTGCTTCCACACCCGGAGTCGCGCCATGCCCAGGTGCGATGTCAAAATATGTCAAATGGGTCGAAGTGCAGTTGAGGGGCTGAGTGCCCTCTTTCTTGGGACGCCGTGTGATTCGCTGCCGGTTATTGGGGGAAAGATTGGGTTCGTGGTTCGTACGACACGACACGGCTCCCGCCCGATCGGCTTGTGTTGGGAATCGGGGTCGGGCAGCAGGCAAGAGGCACAGCAAAACGCCTCCCTCGCCCCGTCCCGTCCGATTGACTGACTCGGATGCTCAAGAGTATGTAGTAACTGCCTCCGTCAGAAATAACCTACCTTTTCTTTTATTGCGATACCCAGGAATTTTGAATCGAGGAGCAAAGAAGGGTGTGATCATTCATCGAAAGGTTGTTTGTTATGACCGAGCCAGAAAAAGAAAAAGAAACGGATGCGAATGTAGAAAACTGAGAACCAAAAGGAGTCCCAAGAAATCTGTTTCTGCCCTCCTCCATGCCTTCCACCTGCTTGATTTTTCCGTTCGCCCTGGCATGTTGTTTGTACCGTCTTCAAAGCTGCCCCGGGAAATTTGCGCTGTTCCAAGCCCGAAGATGTGACCGTATTGGCGGTAGACTCTCAACCCGTCATCTGTCTTTCTTGTATCCTTTCCCCCCGCGTCCCAGCGCGCATGTGGCCCGTCCGAACTTCCAATGTCTACTGCTTCCCCCAAGAGTTCGATAAAAAACCCTATGCTCCCCCCGGCTGGAAATGAAGGGTATATGAGAAATCGCGGTGGTCTAGATGCAATCGGGTCGTGGTCGCATGTACTCGAATCTGTCGGCAACGTATGTATAATTATGAAATTGAATTCCCCGTGGCGGCAACAGGAGGAGACTCCTTCGTAAATCGTTTTGTTCGTGGTGCCCCCTCGAGCTGAAGAGGAGGGGGTGGTGCGTGAGAGCTAAGTAGGCGCGATCGGTTGTGAAACGGAAAGAAAAGTCAACCGGCTTGGGACGGCAAGTCTCGATGAATGCTTTGGTGAGGGAAAACAAAGTCCGGGCAAATGTTTCGCGACGAATAAGGCTCATGCTTGCTGAGAAGAGATGGTGGTTGAATGCATCAGAAGAATAATGCCAAGTTAAGAAATAAACGCTTGATCGCCCGCACCACCTTCGGCCGATTTCCCCTTCCATATGACACTGCCTTCACCTGGATAATGTCACTTGAGCTTCAGGCTCTCCAGTCTCGCCTGTAAGCTCTTCAGGACTTCAGGATCGGGTTCCGGCTCCACCTTCCTCGGAGTTAGCCTGTCGCACTGGCCGTGTGAGCATTTGGCGCAGGCCTGTTGCTCCGTCGGCGGCGAAGAGAAGACATGTTTGCAACTAGCGCATTGGTAATGCCCGATCCTCGCGCTTGGAGCGTCTCCAGGATAGCCGTACGGGTACTTGTCCTTCTTAGGGCTGTATGGGGTGTTAGCTACGAGCTCAATTGCAACGGCGGGCGAAATGACTGGAACTTACGGGTCCCGAGGGCAATCGGTGCAACGCGCGTGCTGGCAACCCTCGCAGATCTTGGTCCCGGTGAACAGTTTCTGGCACTCGCAACACGTTCTCCGGATACGTTGTCGGGGCTTCCTGTAGTAAAGGTCCTGGCCTCCTGTCTTGGCCGGCCGCTTAAGGATGATCTTCTTCGGAGTCGGATTCCAGTCAGGGATAATGGGTGCCTTCTCGGCCCGTTCCTTGATGATGGCCGCCCGCTTCTTGCGGCTCTCCTCCTTCTCGGCCTCGGTGCGCTTCGGGGGGATGCGCGGGCACTGCTTGCAACGCGGGTGCGCACAGTTAGGGCATTCCCGGTCTCTGCCAAACGAGGTGCTGCAGAGATGGCACTTCCTGTGCACCCGCATCCTGATAGGCTTCTCGACGCGGAGGGCGTGGCCCTCGGTCTTGTGCCACTCGCTAGGCGGCAATTCCAGACCGTAGAGTTCGCCGAGCTTCTTCGCCCGCTCCGCGAAGATTTGAGATCTCGGGATCTTGGTGGCTTCCACGGCCGCGGGAACTTCTGCCACGGGCGCGGTTTGACTGTGACTACATGTCAGTATGAGGGCCAATTCGTGGTGAACACTTCCCCTCATCAGAGGTTTTAACACGCTCGATAAAGGAAATTCAAAGGAGAAACGAGTCGGGCATACCTCGTGGAAGCCACGGCGGGAGTGGTTGTCGTCTCGGGTTGTGCGGCGGCGACGGACGTGCGACGAGACGAATCGGTGGCCTTCTTCAAAACTGTCTTCACCCTCGACAAGACCCTCTTCCTCAACCCCTTCTCCTCCTTCTCCTTGGAGGCCGACGGCCCTCCTTGCGCTGGCGAACTCATCTTGGTTGATGTTGCTGATGATGTGATTTATTGGTTGTTGTCTTGAAAGACCATCGGGTTTCAGATTTCGCACGGCTGGGCAGGACGTCCACAAAATTGTGGGAAAATAAAAAGAACTTGATCCGTCGAGATATTGTCTCTCGGGACCCAGGAGTTTAGACTGCAATCCGCCTTCGAATGGCAGTGAAGTCGCAAGTTTGTGTTGTGGTGGGCCCCCGTTGCAAGCAAGAACCCCAAGCGGTGACCGTGCACTGTGGCTGCTGCAGGAGTCTATTCGTCATTCAACGCACCGATAGGTACTTCAGGTCCGCGTCATTGAAGGGCGGCGTGTTGGCGCAATTGTCGCTCCCCGAAGGTGTTGAGGGTGGTCTCGAGGTCGGTCGGCGATGGTTGTTCGGCGGAGGTCACCACACACTCCGGAGAAAGGGGAAAGAAGTAGCCAAACCCGGGAGCAATGGAAGCGCCGTTGCGAGCGGGAAGGGGGAGGAGAAGAGAGCGGAGAAGACAGACAGATTCGGTGTGGTGCGGTGCCAGAGGCTAGCAAGGATATACTGGGGTATTGTTGCGCTCCAGCGACGTGCAGGCCCACGGCGGAAACGAGGGAGGGATGCAGCACGCTAGCGGTGGTATCGACAGGATCTGGTAAGGTCCACGCCAATTGCGGGAACGGGGAGTGCCAGCGAGTTGCAACGAACAAGTCAAGCGCAATCCAAGGCCCAAGCGAACTGGCCACCTGGAAGGCGTCACGCAGCCGGGCCACCGCTAATCAAAAACTAGCGTCTGCGGCAAACCTGCTCGGGGTTTGATATTGTCGAGCCCAACGCCTGGCTGCACGCCGTGCACGCTGTGCGCGCCAATGCAGAAGACCCAGGACGCTGGCTGGCTGGCTGGCTGGCTGGTTCCGCTCTGAAGTGCCCAGCGAGGTGGTGCGGACGAATTGAGGGGTTCCCCGACAGCTCGAAACGACTTTGCCACTGCTGGTCCCGAGGCGGCGGGAAGGACGGGAGGGCTGGGGTACGGAAAACGGAGGAGGCTCGGTTGCGATTTTGAAGTTCGATTTTTAAGTGTGAAACTCCGGTAACCACACGTAATGGTGGGGCTAAAGCAAATAAAAATACACTTGTGAACGTGAGGGACTGGCCACGTTACCTGTGTAATTAATGTTTTCGAGCCTGAAAGTATTTTAACACAGCATTTCCACTCCCTTCCGCTCCGTGTGCCAAACGCAAACTTCGGTAACAAACGGAGGGTGAACCGTTTCTTCGAACACGTCGTGCGTGACATCCCAGGAGTTCGGGCGGGTGTGCAACTCCACCAGTTCTGCGAACCAGGAACAACGGAACCAGTCACTTCGCTTGCCTCTCCCTTGGAAGCGGTGCGCTTGCGGGGGCATGACTCTTTGCTGGTCGTGCCAATCGATAGGGTCTAATGGGAATATTTCTTCTTACTTATCCAGTATTTTTCATAGTGGGGGCACCACCCTCAAATCAGTCTTGGTTGCGGATCGGTCCCATCCCCTCGTGACAAGGGGTGGAGGGTACTTTTTCCATCTTCTGCCATGGGGACCTTGTCGCTGCCAATTTCAATGACTATGGGGGTTACTGCGGGGAATCACCTTGGATCCTCACCCTAT